TGGAGGTAACTATGTGTGACTGTCTGTCTGTCTGTGTGTTTGGCTGTCTGCCTGTGTGTGTCTATGTGTGTGACTGTCTGCCTGTGTGTTTATGTGTGTATGTTTATCTGCCTGTAACTGTTTCTGCCTGATCCTGTGTATGTGACTATCTGCCTGTGACAGTAAGCATGTAGTGGATTTGACAGTGTATATGTATAACTGTGGGACGATGTACACATAACACTGCAAAAATATACACCTGCATTCACACATTTGCTTAAATGCACATTTTTATCTGAATTAAATACCCATCACACACAGCCAATAAACCCAGCACAAATATCACATACAACCAATACACGCATATCACACACATTTAAAAACACCATTACAAATATCACACACAGCCAACACATAGGAATGATGACTGTGTGTGATATGCATGCTATCACATACATTACATCATATTATAGTGAGATGTATTACGGTGGATAATATGGCTATAAGTGCTAAAATATGTAAACTGCATGAAAATGCTAAGAAAACACTTAACTTGGCAGACAATGAAAAGGATTCTATATTTTTTTAATGACTCACAAGAAAATGATATAGTTATGATCTAACCCAGCCACTTGGCACGCAGCAATATCTTGCCTTCTTAGCCTGGGTGCAACCCTCTTCCAACTGTAGAACTGACACAGATCTTCAGACTAGTTTCTGGAAATAATGTGCACACCTGCCATTCAAAATGTTCTGGATGTTGCAACCTGAGACAGACTGGCACATTATTCCCAAAAATAAAATTATATATATATTATCTTTCCCCTGTGAGCTGTAATCAACAATCTGTCCAAGGCGGACATATTTGATTATAGACCAATATCTGTCAAATGTCTAAAAAATGCATGCACACAACAGCACTGGAAAAGCAACAGAAGAACTATATCTTTAAAATGAACACTCCATATCTCTAAAGCACTTTAGCGTGCTGAAAAGCTTTGTGTGCAAAGTGTGTCCTCTTTTTTCACTTTGCAAAAAGTGCAGATCTAAATAGAAATTGGCACTTTTATAAATTAACCTGACTACACTCCCTGGCTTTCAAGCAGATATTAGGACCTTTTACTTCCCGGTATTGTTAACTCATTGAAGTTAAAGGAAGACTATAGGGTCAGGAACACAAACATGTATTCCTGACCCTATAGTATTTACCCTCCCTCCCCCCCCCCCCTTATAAAAGTTTAAAACTCACCTTATTTCCAGCGCCGCACGGGTCATCCAGTGCTCGCCCGGCCCCCTTTGTGACATCATGAAAAAATGGCCATACGGAAAGCATTGGATTGGCTAAAATCGGCACAGGGTGGGGCCAAATGCCATTTTGGCCAATCAGGACCTCCTCATAGAGATGCATTGAGTCAATGCATCTCTATGAGGGAAATTCAGTGTCTCCATGCAGAGCGTCAGGGCTGCTTTTTTTGGCAGCACCTAAGGAGTGGCCACTTGGGGGTGTACCTATTCAGAGAAAAGGCAGTGTTTGCATGAAAAAAGCCTGAACGGAACTATTATACTCACCAGAACAACTACATTAAGCTGTAGTTGTTCTGGTGACTATAGTGTCCTTTTAAACTCAAGAGGCAGCAATAGCACAGAGCACCTTTTTTTACAAAGAGCTGCATTGAGAAGTCTGTTATTGGACAGCCATAGAAAGTCTGGGCGAGGGTGGAAGGGGAGAATTTGCAAAGGCAGCAGAGAAGAGAATTGCAGGTTTTGCAAACTGTTTTATATATAACCCCAATTTAATTTATTTATTTTTTACATTTTTTATTTTGGTTGTGCACAGATAACAGATAGTCTTGCATTGCCCCAAAAGCAGTAGCAGGATCTGCAAAATACACATAATATAACAGTGTGGCAATAGATATAACGGCACATTTTTTGTTGAAATAGATAGGTGAGAGGAAACACAGTTTAAACTATGTCAGTGTACCTGAATTAATTAACTAGCGAAGGTCTGGTTTCGGTAACTGACAGCTGATATTAGATGGGGAAAAACTGTGACGTAAAACTAAGTGCGTGTCCTGCCCGTTGGTCGCCATCTCAGAGTAAACATTTATGCCTCTAGTATTTAAGTAGGTAATTATGATTAACAGTCTGCATATCCATGCTATAGAGGCTCATACCCCCCTCAGGGTCAGTAAATACAAAAGGAACTGTAGTTCCAGAGGAGTAAGTGGGGAGAAGGAGCATGAATTTAATGTGTATGGTCAAAGGAGCACCATGTAGGTGATCAGAATCATGGATGAGCATGTTGGCAAAGAAAAACTAAGGAACAAAAGATAAAACTAGTATAACATAACTAAACAGGACAATATCTTCCAATATTAAGCTTGCCAGCACGAATGGGCGAACTCTCGCTGGATCCCAAGATGTGGAAGTCGTCTGCCCTACAGGATCGACTTGTTAACGTAGGGCTATGTTGAGTTTCTGCAGCGTGACTGGTATTTCGGCAGCCTCAGATACTTTCAAGTGACCAGTGTTCTGTGGTATGATCAAACATCTAGGCCTTCCCCAACGATAGGGTATGTTGTAAGCCAAGAGTTCCTTGGTCAGGGGTTGTAGCGATCGGCGCCAGTCCATTGTGTCCCTGGACAGAAGGTCAGGGAATGGCCCTCGAAATGTAGAGGAGACTTGTTGTGCATAGCCGCCATGAAGGCCAAGCAGTTCTGGCCCTGCTGGAAGAGGATAATTATATCCCTCCCCTTGTCCGGTGTAAGTGTGTTCGGTCTAAAAAGCCTGTACCAGCCATCCAGCGGCATAGCTTTAGCTTGTTTAGAGGTAAATAGTGTGCCAAATAGTCTGCAGAACAGATGTGGTATTTCAGCAGACTATATTTTTATGCAGTCCGCACATTTTTTTATTTTTCCAGCGCCTTTTATCTTCCAGGGACACCATGCTTTCCTGGTTTTGCGCTTGGGCCCCCTGGAAGGTTGTGAGTTGTCGTTCTACCTGCGCTAGTCGGGTCTCATGCGCAGCAGTGTTGAGCTCTGTATTTTGCAGATGTGCCGACACTCCGCTGATTTCTTCCCGGAACAAGCCAACGTCAGCTGCAATATTGTGGCGCAGCTCATCAAGCATGTCCCTTAGCTTCTCTTCCAACACTGGGGGTTTTCCCACGCGTTTAGCAGGTGAGTGTACAGGTCAGGATGGGGCCCTTGTGTTGTAGTCCCCTGCATCTGCGACAGGTGCCTCACTAGATGAACAAAAAAAAACACAAAAAAATTGAGTTTGAAGGCCTCCGCACAAGTTAGACGGTATCGGCGGTAGTTGGGGGTTTAACCGCCTTATATTTTTTGCTGCAGCACCTCATAACCTCAGGAATGTAAGCTGTGGAAATGTAAGCTGAAATATTCTATTTTTCTTTGTCTTTAGTAGATCTTTGCCAAGTTCTGCTCAGAGCTCCACAGAGATGCGTCCTCTCGGTCTCATTCTTTATTTTTGATGTTCATATTTTAAATCGAGTGACAGTACTACATGTACAAGTCAGCGTAAAGGTAGACATGTCTAGCTATAAATGTTTACAGAAGGAAACAGGACATTTTTATGTATATAGATCAAGAGAAAAACAGTGCAGGGCTTACATAACTACATTGGAAAGGGAAAAAAAAAAAGACTTTGTGGATTTAGCAGCTTATGAAAATATTTATAGGAGCAATCCCCAGCCTGCAGTAGTCCCCCAGAATGGTCTAAGCTTGGCCGACCCCCAACCTGCAGGGCCATTGGTATGCATGATTCCGCTGGGGCTCGGAGCCACTCAATGTCCTGCAAGATCGGCATTGAGACCTCGATGGGATGACCCCTCTGCTTCAACATCCCATCACTGCCCTTCAAAATGAAGAGGGTTGTGTGTATTACCCGAGTAAATATCAGACTCAGGTCTTTATTTTCGACTGGATTCGGCTGCAAGACAGTGGTGAAGCGCAGGTCGGAAGGGGCTCTAGCATTAAGTGAGGAGGAAGCAGATGCAGAGTCCCATCCGTTGTTTATATCAGGATCCGGGAGCTCAGCAGGAACACCAGCGATTTCATCGGTCTGTGACTAATGAGTCGTAGTTATCGGTGATTCCCTCTGCCTCTCTGAAATGCGTCTCCAGAAAGCTGCAAAGATAGCATCCAGCTTTTGGATGGTAGACTGTGGCCTGCTCACCACCTCCGCCATGCCAGGTGCACAGTGCTTTCCTTGTTGCAGTTGTTGCTGGTCATGGAGAAGAGTCATCAGCAATCCTTGAGAACGGGAGAGAAGCTACCTCCACCGTACTTTCTATGCTTGTAGGCCACTGAGCGTAATCGGGCAAGTTGTTGAATTTTTAGCTTATGTGGTATCCCTGTGGTCACACTACACCCACTTTCACATCAGAGCCAATGTACATCAAATGATGCTGTCTGTATGCAAATATTCAGCACAAATCGATACGAGAAGCAGGCACTGCTGTTACTTGTGACTTCTCTTCTCCGCGGTCAGGCCCCGCCCCCACCCCCCCTTTTTAAAACTTTGTAATTGCAAAATATTTTGGCACCTGGCACCTACTACAACTTGACAAGCAGATAGGACACCTTTTCAGGGACCTCTCCCCTATATGCCCAAAAATGAGGCTGTACTAGAAGGGATATGGTTGTCAAGGCAGACTCATTTAAACCACATTCAGACACAAATGTTCCTATCCAAGCCAGTACATTGTAGATAACCTTGCTTGTCATGTAATCACTGCAGTGGCATTATTAATGATGAAATACATACCCACCCTAGAATGGACAAGAGTATTAAACGAAGTAGTTGTAGATCTACTGGAGTGTCTCTGTGGGTTGGGCTATGTCGGTAAAACCATTAACTCTTAAAGACTGCATCTCACAGCACAAAACTGCTATTCGTAGCATTAAGTCCGACACCCCTGTTGCACGGCCCTTCAGAGATAAAAGACACAATGTCTTACTAAACTGTGACATATATGAGAATTTTTCATGGTTTGTTTTTTTAGTAAGGTTTGTTTTTTTGTGGTGTTGGTGAGGTTCACCATCTCTATCTCCAGTTTCACTTATATTGACACTTATAGTGATTGATTGCTTTTTTACAGATACACACACACACACACAAAATTAACAATTAAACCACCCTCCGGTCTCCTACCAACTGCTGGCTGTGGTTGATGGGAGCTTGCTCTCCCGATCCGGTCCCATCCCATCCCATCCTCCCTCCTCCTTCCGTGCGGCTGGCTCTGTGTGAGCTGGGAGGAAGTGATAAACTGTCACTTCCTCCCAGCTCTCCTGCAGTTATGAAGGGGCCCGGTCACGCTGTTAAAGAGCATGACCGGGCCCCTCTTTGCACATGTCCACTGGGTGGCCCTAAGGGCATGGGCCACCTGATGGACCCTCACACAGGTTCCCAACCTGTGCAGTGCAGCTGCACCACCACGACGGTTTGGGAACTCCTGTTTTGGATGATGACAGGGGCAGCATGTCAGAGTGCCACCTGGAGCCAAGGCCTCACCCTTGTCTATGGACGGGCCAGTCCTGCTTTTGCTGCATTGACCAGGTGTGACATTTTCCCTTTTAATCTTTTGTTAGGCCATTCCAGGCCTCTGTAGTGCTCTCTGTTGGTCCAGCATAATGCTTAATTAACCTGTGTACCTTGTTTTCTAGCATCACATGACTGCGGGTCACATGGCCGCAAGATAGCGGTGGACCTCGGATGGGAGTCCCCTCCTCTTCATTTACTTTGGGGGTGGGTTCGGGAGTGTTAGTTCGCTTTTTCTTATAAAATGGTGAGTATTACATTAATGGTTAAGGACAAGATGCATTGAGAAAGGGGCTTTGCCCGAAACGTTTGTATAGATGCTTTTTTTTCAATTAATACTGTAGCACTTGTTGCACACACTTGTTTTTTCAAAATTTTGTTTGCATATATCACTGTAGGAGCCACAGTGAGGTGGGATTAGCAGCACCTGTACCTTGTTATTTGTAGTTCTGTGGTAACTCCAGCCTCTATCTTTTTTTCATGCAAAATTATTTTGGAGTTAGGTGATCAACCACAAAGGTTTGCCTGGAACCCTTGATGGAGGGGCAATAATTATACATGAAGCACATTTTGTGTATCATTAAATACATATTGTTGATGTAATACAATCATTATTGCCCTTTTTATAAAATGTATACTTGTTTTGTTCTGGGTGCTAACTCCCACCACCCTTAACCCTGCAAGTGTAATTATTGCAGTTTTTATAAACTGCAATAATTACCTTGCAGGGTTAAGTCCTCCTCTAGTGGCTGTCTATCATACAGACACTAGGGGGGCCTCTGTGTTCTTAGTGTCTTTTTTAAATGACACTGGACGTCTTCACGATATGTGAGGACCTCCAGCGTTGCCAAATTCCCCATAGGAAAGCATTGCCATTGCTGCGCATGCGCATTAGGTCGGAGAGTCTGACCCAGTGCCGAGGGACATCGGCGCTGGACTCCGGTAAGTCACTGAAGGGGTTCTAACCCCTTTAGCAACTTGGGATGGGGGGCAGGAGGGAGGGGGGCACTGCGGGGTCCTGCAGTGCCAGAAAAACATATGTTTAAGTGAAGTCTTTCTTAAAACTGGTTACAGAAAGAAAGGCATCCTATTTGTCCCAATAATCATATGAAGAATGGAAATTGAAATTAGAAAATGTGAGAAATTAGAGACATGAGACAAGAGACATGATTGAATGAGATCTATAAAGATCACATGTAACAAGAAGGATGTAATAACAGCAAAGTAATAAGGTATATGAAAACTTAAAAACTTTAAAGGACAAATTGACACATTAACATTCATATTAATGAGCGGACAGGTAACAAATCTTTCCCTCAGATCTTAATAGGCCACCAATTGCCCAACATTTAAAATGACTACGAAGAAGGCAATTATCTGGTCTAATAGCTGACCCCTGGAAATGTGGGCCAGCATTGGAAGTGATTAAGATGATGCTCTGTTCAGATGAATTGTAACCTAACGATCAAATGACTAACTTGGATGGGTGTTTCTTTGCCTGTCAAGACGCAGAGGTAATGCCAGAACATGTACAAAGCATCAGCAAGGGGATTAGAATCCAAACAAATAGTTTAACCCTGTTTATGTCTCTGTACTTGTAATGACTCAGAGGTTATGTTAGCTCCTGCACAAATCAACATGGGCTGAAAAGCACACCCTGTGGAGCTGTATTTTAGCCAAATCGTGAGATGGCTTAATTCTGTAATGTGTTTCTGCACTTGTAATGATTCTAGAGTCAAGTTCGCGCCTGTACAAAGCATCAGGCAATTAGATGCCAAGGAAGCAATGTAATGCCTAGAACTATTAAAGGTGTACTCTGCCTACTATGAATTGAAGGTCACACTAGCTTCTGTAAAGAGACGCAGGGATACCTAGGTGGCACCTTTGAAGCTTCTTTGATTCCTTCCCCAAAAATTAAGGATGTTACCGAATCCATGCTAAGAATTATACTGCACATTAAAAACAACAGAGAGATAAACAAAGGGTGGGGCAAAATCTACTCAAATAATAGAATACCCCAGCATTCCAAATAAATGTATTCATTCCTAATGCTGGAGTAAAAGGCAGATCATGTAATATACATACACATATATACACAAGGACTGGTAACTTTTTTTTATATATACTTGAGCTATCATTATCCTTTACCAAATAATTTTCACATAACTGGTTAGTAAAGACAAAAAGTTCCAAATACATAATGAATATGCACAAAATATCCTCTTTTCAGAATATTTCTCTCTCTTTCTGGAAATTAAGGGGACAGTATTAGGTGTGTCTAGCAGCTTCTGAAGTATATGTTTTAATATTATTTTTTTTAAAGAGAAAGGTAGACTATTAAAACATTTCTTTGTAGCTTACATGTATATTCATGTCTTCCTATTGTCTCTCAATCAGACCTTTTATATTAAAAATTACCTCTGATCCAGCACTCAGTTGACAACCTTTTTCATCCAATGAAACGCTTATCATCGAGCAGCAATATTAAACATACAGTGCATGCACAGAAATCATTGTGATCCTCCAATCAAGTGCTGCTTATAGAGATGCATTGATTCAATAGATTTCTATGGGGAGATGCTGAACAAAGACAGCAGGGATGAACAGGGCCGCACTGGCCCACCGGGATACCGGGAAATTTCCCGGTGGGTCGCGGCACCTGGGGGGCCGGAGAGAGAGAGGGAGCCCTGTGCCCTAATATTTTAATAATATCGCGGCCACTGGCCGCATGTCGGTGCCGCCGGGTGGCCGGTCCGGCGGCACACTCTGAGGTGATTACTCACCTTGCGGCCGGCGGCCCCATCAGTATCAGTGAGTGAGTGTGCCGGGCGGCCCCCTAGGCGATCCAGCGGCACACTCACCATGCTCCCTCGCGGTTCCCAGAATTCCCAGCATCTACACATCATAGTAGTGATTACTCTATGATGTGTAGATGCTGGGAATTCTGGGAACCGCGAGGGAGCATGGTAGCTAGCTCTTCCCTCTCCCTCAGACCTCCTGTGACAAGGTCAGAAGGGAGGGGAGACAAAAAGAGGGGAAGGAGGGGACAAATGGAGGGGAATGGGGGGAAACAAATATAGGGCAAGAGGGGGAAAAAAAGGAGAATGGGAAATAGAGAATAGAGGACAAATAGAGAGCAAAAAGAAAAGAGAATGGGAAAAAAAAGAAATAGGGAATGGGGGACAAATAGGGGAATATTGGGGAGACAAATAGAGAATGGGGGAGACAATAAGTAATACAAAGCTACAGGGAAGAGGACACAGAGAACTAGTAATAAACACACAGAAGGGGACACAGAGACTGAGGGAGTAATAGAAAGACAGGGGAAGGACACAGAGACTGAGGTAATAGAAACACAGGGAAGGAAATTTAGAACTGAGAGTAACCAACACAGAGGGGTAATGACAGGGGAAGGGACACAGAGACTGAGGGTAATAGAAACACAGGGGAAGGGGGACACAGAGACTGAGGGGTAATAGAAAGACACCAGGTTGGGGGGGGACAAAGAGACAGAGGGTAATAAGAGACATAGGGCAAGGGGGGACACAGACAGATGGGGTAATAGAGAGACAGGGGATGGGGGGACAAAGAGAGGGGTAATAGAGAGACACCAGGGAAGGGGGGACAAAGAGACAGAGGGGTAATAGGAGGTTGGGGGGACAAAGAGAGGGGTAATAGAGAGACACCAGGGAAGGGGGGACAAAGAGACAGAGGGGTAATAGGAGGTTGGGGGGACAAAGAGAGGGGTAATAGAGAGACACAGGAGAAGGGGGGACACAGAGACAGAGGGGTAAGAGAGAGACACAGGGAGGAGATGGGGAAGAGAGACACACGGAAGGTTTGTTGGGGGGACAAAGAGACATACAGTAGGGAAGGGGAACAAAGTGACACAAGATTTGTGGGAGGCAACGCTGGGCTGGGGAAAAAGAGACAGAGAGTGACTGGGAGAAGAGAAAGAGGCACACAGAGTCTGGAGTTAGAAAGAGACACACAGATGAGATTTGGAAGGGGAGAAAGAGACAAAGTGGCTGGGGTTAAGAACAACACAAAAGGGGCTGGGGGAAAGAGAAATACAGAGGCTGGAGAAGGGTAAAAAGAAACACACAGGGACTGGGATAAAGTAAAAGATGCACAAGGGTCGTTGTAAGAGGAAAAAAAGGAGACGACTGGAGACAAGATATACTAAACAAGGTAAAGGTAATAGACGTAAATTGATGTGATCCTGACAGTAATACACACACATATATATGCATGTATATTGATGTGTGTATTAGTAACATATAATTATGCCTATAATATTTACACATATAGTAATATACATTTATTTATGCATAATACATAAATGTCATTAAATATGTCATTATATATATATATATATATATAATGAGCACGTATTGGCCCTGTCTTGTTGCTAGTTGCATACTCATGCACAATAACATATTCAAAGTGAAGAGCGCACCCATAGAACTTCAAAATAAACAAGATCACTTAATTTTTTAGTTGTGCAACTGCAGACATTCAGCATTTCAGTACCATTACTAAAATGTCCTTAATAGGCCAAAGTAGTTGTACTGAAACATTACATGCAAATGTACGTCTTCTTAAAATAAAGGCGCCTTTTTGTTTATTTTGAAGCCCTATATGCGTTCATTCGTTGGAGTAAGAGTTTTCAATTTCAAGTTATTTTTTCACCCTCTTTATCAGCACACTATGCTGGCGCGACGCATTATTGGGCTGGTATAGAATTTTTTTCCAGGGCTGATTTTACGTCCCAGTCCGGCCCTGGGGATGAAACAAAGAAGGGCCTCTAGCACCTAGAGGTGTTACTAGGGAACAATGTAAACATTGTCTTTTCTCTGAAAAAGCAGTGTTTGCATTGCAAAAACTGCAGGGACAGGCTATAGACATCAGAACCACTATATTAAGTTACGCTGACTACAGTGTTCCTGGTGACAATAGTGTTCCTTTAATTTGGTAACGTACAAAAGTATACAGTGTTTTTGAAAAAGTGGACAAAATAAGGCATTGTACTAGGAACATTTAGATATATCTCATGCAGCTATTTTGTCACTGACCATGCCAAGTAACTTTTCCTGCATTGTCTGTGTTTTATTTTGTAAATGCAGCATTGATGTTTCATGTATTTTCCAAGTTAGGAGAAATTACATTAATGGAAATTTCATCCAAATTGTATATCAGAGAGCATCAGGACCAGGGGACGGCAGCAGTAGTCTGCTAACATTATAAACACTACAATGTAATGTCATGGTTATAGTGCCCCTTTAAAAATTAAATATTGTCAAAAATTACTTATTATTTTCGAAATTAGCTACAAATAATAACATTAAAATATTTGTAAAAATAGCTTAAGGCAGACATCTTCATAACCATTAAAAGAACGCGCCAATCAGGAGCCTCTCATTCTTGAATTTGAGGTCTTGTCCCATAAACTCCAATCCAGTAAGTAGTTTATAGGATAAGTAGTTTTTCCCCTAGTCATAGTTCTTCTCGTTAAATACGATGAGTGGAACTTCTCTATAACAGATAGAAGCCATTAACTGGATGCTATTGTTTTATACACAGACTTTAGCTCCTGAGCTAAGTTGCTACAGCTTGACTCTCCCCAGGGTCATAGAGAAAAACATCTCCCAACTAGTTTGTGCATATGTGTAGTGTTGACAAAAAGTTTTGTTGAGAAATATGGGAATACTCTTGCATTGGGGCTCTGCACTGGTGACCTCAGAACTTGGCAAACAGAAAACAAGGAAAGTAACAGAAACATAGAATGTGACGGCAGCTAAGAACCATTCGGCCCATCTAGTCTGCCCAATTTTCTTAATACTTTCATTAGTCCCTGGCCTTATCTTATAGTTAGGATAGCCTTATGCCTACACCAAGCATTCTTAAACTCCTTCACTGTGTTAACCTCTACTACTTCAGCTGGAAGGCTATTCCATGCATCCACTACCCTCTCAGTAAATTAATACTTCCTGATATTATTTTTAAACCTTTGCCCCTCTAATTTAAGACTTGTTGTGGTAGTTTTTCTTCTTTTAAATATGGTCTCCTCCTTTACTGTGTTGATTCCCTTTATGTATTTAAATGTTTCTGTCATATCCCCTCCTGTCTCGTCTTTCCTCCAACTATACATGTTAAGATCCTTTAACCTTTCCTGGGAAGTTTTATCCTGCAATCCATGAACCAGTTTAGTAGCCCTTCTCTGAACTCTCTCTAAAGTATAAATATCCTTCTGAAGATACGGTCTCCAGTACTGCGTACAATACTCCAAGTGAGGTCTCACCAGTGTTCTGTACAATGGCATGAGCACTTCTCTCTTTCTACTGCTAATACCTCTCCCTATACAACCAAGCATTCTGCTAGCATTTCCTGCTGCTCTATTACATTGTCTGCCTACCTTTAAGTCATCAGAAATAATCACCCCTAAATCCCTTTTCTCAGATGTTGAGGTTAGGACTCTATTAAATATTCTGTACTCTGCCCTTGGGTTTTTACATCCAAGATGCATTATCTTGCACCTATCCACATTAAATGTCAGTTGCCACAACTCTGACCATTTTTCTAGTTTACCTAAATCATTTTCCATTTGGCTTATCCCTCCTGGAACATCAACCCTGTTACATATCTTAGTATCATCGGCAAAAAGACATACCTTACCATCAAGACCTGCAATATCACTAATAAAAATATTAAAGAGAATGGGTCCAAGTACAGATCCCTGAGGTACTCCACTGGTGACAAGTCCAAGCTTCGAATATATTCCATTAACTACAACCCTCTGTTTCCTGTCACTCAGCCATTGCCTTACCCATTCAACAATATTGGAATCCAAACTTAAAGATTGCAGTTTATTGATAAGCCTTCTATGTGCAACAGTGTCAAAAGCCTTACTGAAATCTAGGTAAGCAATGTCTACTGCACCACCCTGATCTATAATTTTAGTTACCCAATCAAAAAAATCAACAAGATTAGTTTGGCATGATCTCCCTGAAGTAAACCCATGTTGTTGATGTTCAACAATCCTATCCTTTAACTAGGTTTCCATTACTTTCCTCACTACTGAAGTAAGGCTTACTGGCCTATAGTTGCCCGACTCCTCCCTACTACCTTTCTTGTGAATGGGCACAACATTTGCTAACTTCCAATTTTCTAGGACTACTCCTGTTAACAATGATTGGTTAAATAAATCTGTTAATGGTTTTGCTAGTACACCACTAAGCTATTTTAATAACTTTGGGTGTATTCCATCAGGTCCCATTGACTTATTTGTCTTTACTTTTGACAGTTGAAAAAGAACCTCTTCTTCTGTAAACTCACATATAATAAATGACTAATTTGTCCTTTTTCCTAACTGAGGTCCCTTTCCTTCATTTTCATCTGTAAATACTGAACAAAAATATTCATGGAGGCAGTCAGCTAGACCTGTTATCCTCTTCTACATACCGTCCTTCTTTTGTTTTTAATCTAACTAATCCTTGTTTTACCTTTCCTTTCTCATTTATGTATCTAAAAACATGTTTTGTCCCCTTTTTTTACTGACTGCTATTTTCTCTTGTGTGTGTGATTTGGAAGCTCTTATAACTTGCTTAGCCTCTTTCTGCCTAATCTTATAGATCATTCTGTCTTCCTCACTCTGGGTTTTATTATAATTACTAAATGCCACATCTGTGGAGTACCACAGTGGTTTCTTGAATTTCTTTGCTTTTACTGACAAGCCTAATGCAATTTTCTGTTGCCTTCAGCAGTGCAACTTTTCAATAATCCCATTTCTCTTGGACTCCATTTAAATTGCTCCAGTTTGATGATAATGACTCCTTTACACATATTCTAATTTTAGAAGTCTGTTTTTTTAAAGTCTAAAACTTTTGTTTTCGTGTGGTGTGACTCAGTTACTGTTCTTATATTAAACCACACTGACTGATGATCACTGGATCCTAAACTTTCACCTACTGCATTATTGTTTTCCCATATCAAGCCTCTTGTTGGGTAAGCACAACTGGTGATCTTAAATTATAGTTTGAGAAGTGGGAATTCATTTTTCTGTGATAATTAGCAGATGACACATGCTAGGTATGCCATATAATTAAAACTGATAAACAAGTCTGTGTAATATCAGACAGCATCACAAATATTAAAAAGGTTAGTATTTTAGTGATTTAGCCTGGTGTGACATAAACGGGAGACAACTTTACAATAATTACCTTTGCGTCTGTTGTTATAATTTCATTTTACACTCCATTTAATAACATTTAAAAATAGCACGGATGCTTAGAATATATGTACTCTGCCTTAAAATATTTAGTGACATAAATATTTTAATAAAATATGATATTTTAAATCAAGCTTCATTTACAGTACAAATTCTCTTGCTCCTGAAAGGAGACATTTGCAATTGAACCCCTATAAAATGATCAATACCACATAAACTACTTGCTGGCAGTAAGGAGTACATTTTTTTTTTTTATAACTCATACAAAAGTCAAGTAAAGAATGGATCTGTCTGGAATAACAATTATAACAGAAATATGGAAGATATATTAAAAAAACTGATAGGTTTTTTTTTGTTTTGTTTTTTAGTGTTACCCAAACTACAAACATTAAATAAAAACACTTGTGTGTATATTAAAGTACCCCACCCCAAAACTATATGTACATTGGGCTTTCAGGAGACATCCAATTCATATTTTGGACATTTATTTTAATTGTTCTATCTCAAAAACAAAATAGTTATAAAACAGAAACAAGTCGGACAGTGTAACTTGAGATCTTTACAATAAAATAAATGCACAAAGAAAAAAGAAAGTAACAACTAAACAAAAAAGTAAACAAAAAAAAATGTTCTTGAGTCACTTTCCAAGTGAACTTTTTAGTGTATAATTGCCTGTATTCTCAATTATCAACTTACCTGTGCTAGACGTTTGTTTATAATTTATATAATTGTACATTTTTTTTGGAAGACTCCAAGCATCATAACCACTACAGCTCAATGGTGCCAGAAGTTCCCTGGTGACCCCACAATGTAAGTTGTCAAACCATTTTAAAATAGTGTCTTACGTTGGGAATGCCGGGTACCGCTCCCTACTTCCACTCCTTCCCAAGGAGACCCAGGGACTAATAAGCAAAATCTTAGACTAGACTTTGTTAGACTTTCATTGCAGTCAAGACATTTCCGCATTATTACACTGGTTTAAAGAAATAGCTTTTGGCATTTTAATTGTTTAAAATAAACACTCTAAACACCATAACTACTACATCATGGTACCAGGTATGCCCTTCCAGTGTGAGTAATAAAAACCATTTGTGAATGGTTTGATAACTTACCTGGGGTCTACCAGGTGCCTCATCCTATGGAGTCCAGAAATTCCTGCAAGGAGATTCTGTTAGCGCCTCTGAGCAAAGCCCTGCCGTGCATGGCTGCAGGTTCAATGACTAAAAGCATAATTTAAGCACTCTCAGACAATGTTATAAGTGCTGAAGCTTCCATGATGCAGAGGAAAAGATGACTGGAGCCCAGCAGACCCGAGGCAAGTTATCTAAGTTTGTGTATAGTTTGACTACTTACAATAAAGGGGGCAAGGGCACTGATGACACCATAATGACTACAGTGGTTGTGGTGCTTGGAGTGTTTTTTTTAACGATAAAATATATGAAAAAAAGAACTGTATGTTTTAAATACAGTTTACACATTTCATGGAAAAGCAGTCTTTTAGCAAACTATTAAAATGTATTTTAAAGGTGCCAAATTCAGTCTTCTATCTAAACTTTTAAATACCTTCTGGTAATATATAATTTTGATTTAATTAGATTCAAATTCAATCATGTAACTTTTAAAGAACTGGTAAAGTTTAAAGGTCGATATTGAAACAACTTTTTTATTACAATGTATATACTAAGTGCTAAAGATCTCAATGCATAATTAAAAAAACCTAGAAATTTCAGTAGCAATTTCTAGAGTGTAAAAGCTAATAGCAGTTAGTCTGCATGAGATGGTTGCTTTGTCCATGTATAAAAAAACAAAACAAAACAAAACAAAACAAAAAAACATTTACCTCTGAAACACCCTAGATCCAGACCGAGCAAGACAAACACACAAAACATAATCTTAAAAAGTCGCTCTATATAGTGCACCATTGAGAATTCTTCAGGAGGAATTCTTGCAGAGTTAAATTTTTAGATTCTGTACTGAAATATATGTCTGGAGAATGTGCATCAGTTCTGGTTTTGTAAAAATAAATGACATACAAGCAAAATTTTTACTTTACAAAACTGATGAAAACTTCAACCACTGTTTCTGCAACCTCATGAGACACATTCGAGAATAAGCATATTGTTCCACTACACTAAGGACGTAGCTTGCAGTCATTACATGCATCCCAGCATAGGCTATGAAACTATCCAACTATGCTCTCCTGCTAAAATACTAAAAAAAGGAACCATTGCATTCATACCTATCATATCAGCACTTTAACTCTTTGGTGAAAACATCTTTATTGCTCAACCCTCTACTAAACAGAGATTTAACAAGTTAATTTAGTGGAAGAATTGCTCCTTAATATCAATGAAAACACATAACTCCAAGTTCTATCCAAAAACATCTGTTGATAACAATATCGACCTTTAACAAGCTCAGCCCATGTTTGTTACCTGTAGAGTAGCTGCACTGTAGGAATTCTGTTTTATATGTATTTTCATCAACCTAAAGCAACCAGCTTGTTTTTTTCTTGATGGAAAAAAAGAATAAAGAGAGGAGTGAAGAAACATTTTAGAAAAGGGGTTCACAAACCACCATTCACAAAAATACAGATATGGGTCAACGTCGATAAAAAGTGGGCATGAAAACAGGTATTAGATTTTAGAAATACTCATACTAATATGATACAGGGTCTCTTGGTTTTAAGCATCATCAAGGTCGTGCAATCAATATGTGTCAATTCTGTTGGGACTGCCCCTTTTAATTTGGGTTAAGAAACTCAATAGAAATACATTATAGTGGTTGTATTTTGCCATAAGCCCTTCTATCCAGATTTTCTCTTCCAGTGGCTACGAATTCTAGTATGTATATAATAAAAACTATGAACATAGTCTTACTGTTGTATATTTTCATGTGAACATACAGTCGGATGTGAATAATATGTGATGACCATCACAGTACTCTTCATGACTTTACATACTATATTTTTGTTTCTATATTTTAATATGTCCCCTGGGTTAACAACACGCTTCTTGATGCTGTGACAGAATTCCAGCTATGAATGTCTTTTGAGGTGGCCGAAATGTCTTAATCAGTGTTGATTCCAGGACTCCCGTGTCCCAGCTCCCTATGAACTGTCCGTTTTGCATTAGAAAAAGTGTCCAGTCAATCTAACGGCTCCTGTTTTATTCGAATGACAGCAGGTGCGCGAGATGTCCTTTTCAGTTCTCTTCTTAGTACATATTCACTAAACTGGGAAGAGTCAACTCCTCCCCCACATGAGCCTACAATCTCAAAACCACGCTGCTGCAACCGTTCCAGTACCTACGGGCAAAAGAAGAACAGTTATTTTTAAAAAAAATAGGATTTTAATGCTGAAACAGAGTTCAATAACATGATTGACAACTAAATTACATAAAAATACACATGGAAAAGGTAATTTGAAGAAAAGAGTTATCTTATAGACCAGCACATATGTAGTTCAATCCAGGTACAATGTAATTATTTGAGTTGAATTTTCACATTTCAGAATTGCATAAAGGGGCACTACCTTGCTCATTTACTACCAAACTTAACCGTAAAAGAAATCTGCCGCCTCTACTTTTATCTTAGATAAATGACATAAAAGGGCACCAAGATGTTTTAGAACATGCCTTTATAGTTTTCCAAGGGAAATTAAGTAAAGTAAAAGTCTACTCCACAGAAATTCCTGTTTTCACTTGGCCTGTTGACATCAACCTATTCATTTATTTTATTTTATTTATAAAATATTTTACCAGGAAAGATACCATGACAGGTGCATTCTGTTTTGAGATATGTAGAGATGGATCTCTTAAAGGACTTTAGGCTTGGGGAAGATTTATAACTGTGGGGGAGGTCGTTCCATAATTGCGGTGCTCTGTAGGAAAAGGAGGATCGGGCTGCTTTTTTTTTTGTATTGAGGTAGACTAAATAAAGTGCTGGTACTGGAATGGAGGTTATAGGAGGTGGGAACAGCCGGGGAGAGCATTCTGCTCAGGTAGGGTGGGAGCTTCCCAGAAAAGCTCTTAAACACAAGGCTGGAAAGATGAAGGGTGCATCTGGATTCCAGCAACAACCAGTTTAGTTCTTTTAGCATGTCACAATGGTGGGTCCTGTAATTACATCGTAGCACAAATAGGCAGAACGAGTTATACAATGTATTGAGTTTATTAACATGGGATTGCGGTGCAGACGCATATACTACATCCCCATAATCAATGATTGGCATCAGCATTTGGTGTACAATCTTTTCCTTTAATGTAGGGCTTAGACAGGATTTGTTTCTGTACAGGGCACCTAGTTTTAGATAAAGATTTGATGCAAGTTTTTTCTATGTGGAGGCCAAAAGATGGATTGGGTTCTAACAACATACCCAGGTATTTGAAAGAGTGGACTGCGGTCAGTGTGCCATTTGATTTTGCTTTGATGCATAGATGGGAACTTTGTAATTTGTGTAATTTAAGTACTTGCAGCATTTCTCTGACTTCATATTCGTGAGTCAGCCATTGTACTGAACAGCGGAGTACCATTAAATTTGGGAATAGTCAAAGCTTAGGGGCGAAACGGGAAGGGGGGGTTCTGCTCTCACTGGACGCAGAAAAAGCCTTTGACCGACTGGGGTGGGGATTTCTGCAGGCGGCCCTGAGGAGGTACGGGATGCCGGAGGGGTTTATTTCAGTGGTCAGGGCATTGTATTCGGCACCAAGAGCCCAAGTACTTAATTCGGGTTTTGTGTCAAAAAAGATAACCATTACCAATGGAACAAGACAGGGGTGCCCCCTGTCCCCCCTGCTATATGTACTGGCACTGGAGCCGCTGGCTGCAGTGATCAGAGCCCACCCTGATATACATGGGGTCCAAGTGGGGGACAGGGAGTACACCCTTAATCTATTCGCAGACGACATACTCCTGACGTTGACGCAACCAATAATATCCCTACCGAATTTACTACAGTGCATACGAGAATATAACAAAGTATCCTACTACAAATTAAACCTCACAAAAACACAAGCTATGGGAATCCATCTGCCAGAACATACTTTACAAACACTGACGAACTCCTTCACCTTTGACTGGAGGGAAGACTATATCACATTCCTGGGGATTAAGCTAGCCAAGACGAGCGGCCAAATGTTTAAATATAATTATGAGAAACTCCTGCAGGAAACCTCTCAGACGTTAGACCAATGGAACAGTGACTTCCACTCGTGGCATGGGCGCTTAGCGGCATTTAAAATGTCACTGTTGCCAAAATTACAATACCTATTCCGCACGCTGCAAATCCCTATACCTAGGCAATATATGGTCAAACTACAAAAAATCATCACGAGATTCGTGTGGGCGAACAAAACACCCAGAGTGGCTTACTCTACAATAAAAAGAACAACGGAGAGGGGGGGTATGAGCTTCCCAGACGTCAAACTGTACTACAAGGCGGCCATTCTAGCAGCGCTAGCCACGACACACAGGGCAGATAACCCACCACAATGGGTAGCCATTGAATCCCAATGGACGTGTAGAGCAGGGATGCACCACTTGTTTTGGGTGCCAAAACACCTAAGGCCAACAACACCGACCATGCTAGAGACCACCAAACTAATGCTGCATACCTGGGACACATATAGAACGCACCTCAGTGGCTCAGGAACCACATCGCTAGCATCGACAATGTATAGTATCCACCTGAGGAACAAAACATTTGACTATCGGACTTGGACGAATGCAGGGTGTACACACATACACGACTTATACAAGGGTACATCCCTAAAACAGTTCCCGGACCTACAAACACAGTACAACCTACCGAGTAAAGCAATTTTCTCATACTTGCAGCTCAAGTCCACCCTACGGCAACCCAAGACTCCACCTATGACACCCATGATCTCAAACTTTGACACGTGGTGCCTCACGGGCAAGCCACACAGACGAAGCATTTCAAAAATATATAGCACATTGCTTGAGGGCACTCACGCATCCACAGACAACTTTATACAGGCATGGCACAAAGACCTTGGCAGCACCTTCACGGAGGCCCAATGGTCCAGAGCCTTCACAATCCACAAGGGCAACACAGCCTGCATTACACACTTTGAACAAGTGAGAAAACTGCAATACAGGTGGTATTTGGTCCCCACACGGCTAGCACACATGTTCCCGAATGTGTCTACTCAGTGCTGGAGATGCCAGCTAGACACAGGCTCACTAATACATATTTGGTGGACGTGTAAAGACGTGCAACCTTACTGGGCCATGGTGAGCACCATCGTGGACCAACTGCTTCCTGCAAAGATGACCCTGACCCCGGCTACATGCCTCCTATACATATGGCCAGAAGGCCTGACCAAGGTCCACTCCAAACTCCTATTCCACACGCTGATAGCAGCATGTAACCTAATAGCAAAAAACTGGAAATCACGGAACATCCCCACAAAAGCTGAGCTAGTTACCCAGATCCAAAAGAATTGGGAATATGAACGCATGGCGGCCCAACAATTGGGGACGGGAGTGGCAACTATGGAGGCGGGGAAAATTTGGGAACAATACTGGAACAAGGTGAAGTCCCAAACAACTGGGGATGAGTAAGATTCTTTAGCCTCACCAACGCAATCTGAGAGGGTATACCCCGGGAAACAGTGGAAAGAGGCCGGTGATGAGAGATCAAACAGGTACAGCGAACCCTTCTCAAAAGAAACCAGGTAGATGTACCACATACAGACGAGACAAACAACCCACCAGTGTATATATTTAAGCTAACTCCCCTCATACCCCTCCCCCCCCGGGTGAGCACCTGGACCCCCCCCACCCCTCCCCCCACCACCTCCTTCTGTCCAACTCATTGACATAGGCCACACGGTAAAAAGGCACGACAACGAGCGCAGGACAGGCTGGTAAACATGTGGACACCTCCGGGCTGAGGTGCATGGATAGCGCCCCGCCGACACTGTTTAAACTATCCAAACTACGGCTGTACTAAATAAAGTGGGATATAATGACCGTTGGAAATACACACGGTACCAACTAACCCCACCCCATCATACCCCACATTTGTTGTCTGTGATTCCCATCCCCACCTTTGAAACACTAATGGTATACTAGGTAACTTCAGCCAGACCAGCATCTGGAGATACATGTTAAAGAGCCAAAACAATAAGCTGGTTATACAGAAAGGCCGGACAAGGTTGTAGTCATGTTTATAAATACTAATAACCTGTGTAATGTATAAAGTGAAAATGTTGTATAAAGTATAATGTCATGAGTGGAACCTTCGTTATTCCACCCTGCCCCATTCATCCCCCCCCCCTCATTCATTTTTGTATCCCCTCCCCCCCCCTTTTTCTATATGGAAAATAAAAATTGTCAAATTGAAAAAAAAAAAAATTTGGGAATAGTAACATCCTCTGGATATTGGGAAAAAATAACATCGCCAGGACGTACTTGGAAACCAGAGTAATCTGAATGTACCTTTCCTGGTTAAATACTTTGTTACTAGTATTAGCTCATAAAAGAGAAAATTATTTTCCAGGATTTTTAATATTAGATTTAATTATCCCCTACATCTCCCAAATGTGTTTGTAAGGTCTGAAAAATTAAATATTGAAATCCACACTGCTCTATCCAAAAACAGAGTACTGCCATCTTGGCTCACTGTCTATGATTGTTATAAGGTCTGCCATTTTCTGACATTAAACACAGTATGTCGAGATGCAAAGTGCAATATAATAACAATAGAAATTAACAGGATTGTGATGTAAACGGCTAAATCTTTAATATATAAATTGGAACAAAAAGTTTAACATGTTACAATAAGTGATTTTCAATGTTTTATTGAACATTTTAATTTACAGAGATGAGGCAGATTCTCTTTAACCTCTTCTCGACAGTCGACAAATATACACTAGGTGACCGATAATGTACAGTGTATATTGGCTGTTTAGAAAAAAATGAGTAGCTCTACGATCTGACCTATTGTTGAACTTTTAACTAGTGAAAGTGTCCAGAAAGCTCTTGTGGGGTTGCCCCAAGCATCCTAGCTCTTTGGTGCTATGCCAAAACCATTGGATGCCCTTTGCATTTAAAATAATCATTGCAAAGAAGAAGTTAGAAATTGTAGAAATGTCAAAACTAGGGTATATCTCTAAATTGACTCTACAATTAGAAGGGGGGGAGGGGGAGAGGGGAAGAGACAAAGATATAAATACAGCTAAAATACAATCGTGTGTCATTTCAGTAGTAGGACACATCAGTCTTTTGCAATTCACCATGAAGAAAGGACCTCACGTTGTCTTCTTAAAATATCAAGAGTGTTCCTTTAAATACCCTGGTGTGGGGGGGAGGTGGGGGGTTACTGTCTACAAATATATGCTTCAGTCATGAATGCATGACATTTTGGAAAACCTTGGTAACAAGGGGTTAATTCTGCAGGATTTTGGAGCTGTTCATCCCGCATGCCAAACCTTCACTTCGGGGGGCTTAACTTAATGTTACTTTCCAAATGAGATACTGCAGTATTTAGCAGTAAATGCTTTCAAAATGCAGAATCACCCCACAGTGGGAAATGCCTAATTTCACTCACAATGGGGAGATAAATCTTTTGTTCCAGAAGTCTCTTTTTCAATTGATTTTATTACAGAATAGAAATCTGCAGAATTATTTAATTGTGCTATGAACTTAATGTGACAATTTTTTTTTAAATAAAAATTTGCGGCAGCTGGAGTACTGTAAAATGAACATGTCCATTATAGAGTTTTACACCAACCACTGCCTGACAGCTGATTAGGCTTGTGTCATGTGCACACTGCATCAGTGAACATCCGAGACAATCAGAGGTGGCTGACTGAAAAGCAGTAGTCCGGCAGGAATAATGTATGGTTTTCAATGAAAGTTTGAATTAACTTTGATTGCAGTTGATTTAGTAGGAAGCAACTATATACTACCTGTAAAACTAAAATGGTTTACACTAACGCATGAATGTATCTATTATGGATAAAAATAGACGTCTAATATATTTATACATGTTTTATCATGGACCTATGATAAAAAAGGGATTAAACCATAAACCTTTGAACAGTTTTAAAAGGTGTAATCCATCTTAAATACAAGACTGTCACTAAAAAATATTTTTGTGTTGATGTAACAAAAATTCATAAAGGGTACAGCTGCAACCACATATAGATTAAAAGAGAGACAGGCAACTCTTACAGTTTAATCCCCATTTTTCAGTGGTCATGAGTAAGGACAATCTTGCTGTGCCTACAACCTGCTCGTAAAGGCACACTGCAGGGTCAGGAACACAAACATGTATTCCTGACCCTATAGGGTTTAACCCACCATTTAGGAGTCTTTCCCCCTCTTAGAAAAGGTAAACTCACCTTAATTCCAGCACCACACGGGTCCCCCATCCCAGACCCGCCTCCTTGGTGAAATCATCAGAATTGCCGATTTTTAGCCAAGCCAATGTTTTCCCATAGGGAGAGCATTGGATTGGCTGAAATCGGCAAGGAGGTGGGGCAAAATGCTGTCCTAGAGATGCATTTATTAAAAAAGAAAATTCAGCGTCCTCATGCATAGCGTGGGGACACTGAACGGCAGTGCTGCCTACTGTGCCGCACTCAGCCAGGAAGCACCTCCAGTCGCCAATTGAGGAGTGGCCACTTGGAGGTGTCCCTAGGGGGCAAAGTAGACATTTCCTTTTCTCTGAAAAGGCAGCGTTTGCATTAAAATGCCTGCAGGCAATCATACTCACCAAAAAACTACATTAAGCTGTAGTTGTTCTGGTGACTATAGTGTCCCTTCAACTGATAAAGTGGAACTTAAAGGGTTACTCCAACCAAAAAAACTGTGTTTTCATAAAAAAAATAAAAATGGTTTTGATTAGTGTGGTGATACACCCAACCCCCAATTTATTTTTTCAGTGTTTCAATTTTTATTGAACGGTTTTCAGTAAGTTCAAAACAATATGCCAAAGATAAAAGTACAATTACAGGCAACAATAAAAGCAAGCCATGTATGCATTCGCTCTCTTCAATTATTTATATGCTTTCATTTGGTTAACAGGTGGGTGTAGGCTTCATTTTACTTTGTGCCACCGAGACCAAACCCCATCCAACTTGGATACTGTTCCAGCTATGGAATGCAACATCTGCTCATATATTTTATTTGCCGATAATTGCTCCAGAACCACAGCCACTAAGGGCTGTTGGGAGATTTTCCAAGCACCTGCTTTAGTGCTTTCGGCTGCCAATAATACTTGCATTATGATAGATCCTTCTGCTTTTTTTGGGGTAGTCTGGTAACATGTCCAACAGGTACATTTCTGGAGTCAAAGGGATCGAATGCTCTGATAAGGTATATAAATATTTTTTTGAATCAGGGATCAGTAGGAACCCAGGAACAAGTCCAGAAAATCTGATAACCTTAGATAACCTGCATCACCAGGACTGAGAGGAGGTGCCCTGGTAGCTATAGTCATGGGAAATAGAAAGTACATTCTCTTTGAATACTATGGTTTTACATATCAGGACATAATAACAATCATCTGTTCCTTAGTAGGTCTTAAGATTAGATAAATACAATTTCAGATAAAAAATACCACATGACAAATTACACTGTGTCATGATTTATTTAACAAAAATAGAGCTAAAATGGAGAAGCCATGTGTAAAAGTACACCTTATGATTCAATAGCTTGTAGAACCACCTTACCACCTTAAAGTAATAATTTTCTGTATGACTTTATTAGTCTCTCACATTGTTGTGGAGGAATTTTGGTCCACTCTTCTCACAACATTGCTTCAGTTCATTGAAGTTTGCTGGCACGTGTTAATGCACAGCTCTCTTAAGATCCAGTCAGACTTTGACTAAGCCTTTGCAACATCTTGATTCTTTTCTTTTTCTGCCACACTGTTGTAAATTTGCTGGTGTGCTTGGGATCATTGTCCTGTTGCATGACCCAATTTCAGCCACGCTTTAGTTATCATAAGATGGCCTAACATTTAACTCTACTATACTTTGGTATACAGAGGAGTTCATGGTCATCTCAATGACTGCACGGTTCCCAGGTCCTGTGGCTGCAAACCAAGCCCAAATCATCACCCTTCCAACACCGTGTTTGGCAGTACGTATGAGGTGTTTGTCCTGATATGCTGTGTTTGGTTGTAGAGTCTAAGATGTAACTCTTTGGTTTTTGCAATTTCTCTGAGCATTGCATAGTCTGGCCTTGGCGTGAATTTGTTGGACGTCCTCCTGGCAAGATTGGCAACTGTCTTTCTCCCGTGACTGTAAGTCCTAAACACACCCGTGTTTCATCAAAAAATTTCTGTCGGCCTCAAGATGGCTTAAACCAAGCACGTCAAACTCAAAGTATGGCATGGGCCACATAAACAAGGTTTAAGTTTATGTGGGCCGCAAAAAAAACAACAAAAAAACAGCACACCCTCTACTAAATCCCAGTCCCCCCCTCTACTAAACCACAGCACCCCCCTCTACAACCCTGTGCCTAATCTGATCCTCCCACTGACACACACATATTCACTGACATACTGACACACACATATTCACTTACATACAGACACACACACATTTGCTGACAGACACACTCACAGACAAACACATACAGACAGACACACACACACTCACTGACACACATACTTGCTGACAGACACACACAGGCACTCACAGACACACACACATACTCACAGACACACACACACAGAGACACTCACACATTTACACATTCTTTTCTTTATTGCTCCTTACCTTTAGAAGCCGATGTGGGGCCTCTCCCTGGGGTCCTTCTATCTGCTCCTCACTGCTCCCTCGCTGCTTCCACCATCCCTTCCGCCCCGGCCGGGTAAGTGTTAGCAGAGTAGGCACCTGCAATGTGGGGAAAGTAGGTGCCTACTCTGCTTGGAACATTAGGCATGTATTCACAGCTTGCCAGGCTGCAAAGATGGTCTTTGTGGGCTGCATGCGGCCCGAGAGTTTGACATGCTTGGCTTAAACAGTATGTAGTGCCTTGTATTTGGGAAACTGCTACATTGTTTCAGTGTAAATTGGACGTTAAGTTTAGAGATCGACCGATATTGGTATTTTAGAGCCGATACCGATAATCTGTGAACTTTCAGGCCGATGGCAGATAGCCGATGACTTGCAGATATTCTGTACATTTACCATTTTGAAAAAAAAACAACCGATTTCTAAAGGTAAATGCACAAAATATACATGCCACATGTTATTATTATTATATTTATACATGTAGGGGAGCTGTGTGTTTGTGTGTAGTGGATGCAGTGTGTGTTTGTGTAGTGTGTATATAATGAATGCAGGGTGTGTTTGTGTAGTGTGTATAGTGAATGCAGTGAGTGTTGTGTAGTGTGTGTATAGTGAATGTAGTGTGTAGTGTGCGCAAAGTGAATGCAGTGTGTGTATATAATGAATGCAGAGTGTGTGTGTTTGTATAGTGTGTGTATATAATGAATGCAGAGTGTGTGTGTAGTGTGTATAGTGAATGCAGTGAGTGTTTGTGTAGTGTGTGTATAGTGAATGTAGTGTGTAGTGTGCGTAAAGTGAATGCAGTGTGTGTATATAATGAATACAGAGTGTGTGTGTAGTGTGTGTATATAATGAATGCATAGTGTGGGTTTGTGTAGTGTGTGTGTATAGTGAATGTAGAGTGCTTAAAGTGAATGCAGTGTGTGTATATAATGAATGCAGAGTGTGGGTGTTTGTATAGTGTGTGTATATAATGAATGCAGAGTGTGTGTGTAGTGTGTGTATATAATGAATGCAGAGTGTGTGTGTAGTGTGTGTATATAATGAATGCATAGTGTGGGTTTGTGTAGTGTGTGTGTATAGTGAATGTAGTGTGTAGTGTGCGTAAAGTGAATGCAGTGTGTGTATATAATGAATGCAGAGTGTGTGTGTTTGTATAGTGTGTGTATATAATGAATGCATAGTGTGGGTTTGTGTAGTGTGTGTGTATAGTGAATGTAGAGTGCTTAAAGTGAATGCAGTGTGTGTATATAATGAATGCAGAGTGTGGGTGTTTGTATAGTGTGTGTATATAATGAATGCAGAGTGTGTGTGTAGTGTGTGTATATAATGAATGCAGAGTGTGTGTGTAGTGTGTGTATATAATGAATGCATAGTGTGGGTTTGTGTAGTGTGTGTGTATAGTGAATGTAGTGTGCGTAAAGTGAATGCAGTGTGTGTATATAATGAATGCAGAGTGTGTGTGTTTGTATAGTGTGTGTATATAATGAATGCAGAGTGTGTGTGTTTGTATAGTGTGTGTATATAATGAATGCAGAGTGTGTGTGTAGTGTGTGTATATAATGAATGCATAGTGTGTGTTTGTGTAGTGTGTGTGTGTGTGTATATATAATGAATGCAGAGTGTGTGTGTGTTTGTGTAGTGTGTTTATATAATGAATACAGTGTGTGTGTTTCTTATGGCATGTAATTTGTGTAAAATGGTCGGGAAGGGGGAATGTTTTTTTTTTTAATTTTATTTTATTCCCCCCTCCCCGATTGTTACCTGGCCAGGGAGGGTGGCTATGGCATTCCCTGGTGGCCCAGTGGCATGTACTGAGCAGTGTGGGGGGGCCCGCAGCAAGCGCTTACTTACCTTTCCAACAGCTCCTTCAGCTCCCTGTGTAAATCTCGCGAGTCCCGTGGCTGCAGAGTGTTGCCACATGTTACCATGGCAACGCTCTGCGGCCGCAGGACTCGCGAGATTTACACAGGGAGCTGAAGGAGCTGTTGGAAAGGTAAGTAAGTGCTTGCTGCGGGCCCCCTCCAGGACCGCCAGGCTTGTAATGGGCCCGGCATGTATTATCGGCAATATCGGTATCTTTATTGGCCGATACCGATCTTGCCGAAAATACAGAATATCGGCCAATAATATTGGTAAAACCGATAATCAGTCGATCCCTAGTTAAGTTCTTTCACCCAGTGAGCCATACATGGAAGATTAGTAAGTATGGAGAAATCCAACAGCACAAAGAAGGCGGTTTAGTGCTGCATTCATTCCAATGCACATTTTTCCAAAGACATTTAAATCAGTTGCATTCAAGGTGTGGATGGATTCTTTGTGCAATATAGTTTTAACTCTAAGATAATTACATTTTTCAAATTCTGCTCTCAGCTCCGGAAATGGTTTAAGTCCCTTTTCTGTCAGTTGCTCACCCACCAATTTAAAAAGACAAACCCCAACACACACACAAACACAGTCTCTCTCAAACTCACCTCTGATCTATCACCAACTTCATCCTGCAGTCCGATCCTTTTTGCTTGACATCACTGCCCTCGATGGATGGGAGAAGGACGGACTGAGGGAAACAGTGAGGAGGTGGGGTGTGCCGCCATTGGATGTCTGGTACAAGCATGTTGTATGCTGTAACGGACCGTTTTGCATACAAGAGGTTAAAAACCGTTTAGGCGATATTCCCCTTTTTCAGATGCACAGACAGCTACTGCAAGCACCAATCTCCCGAACTGCAAACCCACGAATTCACCAACTCCCGAACTGCAACCAAGGGAATACTCGAAACTCCCGTCCTGCATATCAAGTAGTGCTCCAAACTCCCGAACTGGAGACACACGAATAGCTGTTAGCAGACGAACAGGAAAAGCCCCCAAGTGGCTTACACTCCTGGCAATCAGTCTCTAACAGCATACAGTAAATCCCCCCCAAAGACGAGACGACACTTCGGTTTGAGGGTCAAGCAAAATCTGGTTTACTGGGGCTAACTGCCCGGCTTTTATGCAGGTCTCCCACCTGGTGGACACTCCCCTAGGGGACCAAATGGGAAACATATTGGCTCTTAGCCAATCACAGACATACACCTTTAAACACTCCCACAATTACATCACAATCCCTCCTCTCTGTCCTGGAGATAATTGGGAAGTAATCCACTTATCTCCCAGGACAGAGGCAAAACTCCATTAACCAAATGGCAGTAACAATACAGTACAGTAAAAGACATAAAATTACATACAGCCACATTTATTACTTAAAACATATACAGTATTTTCTGGCGTATAAGATGACTTTTTAACCCTGGAAAATCTTCTCCAAAGTCGGGGGTCGTCTTATACGCCGGGTATAGGGTCTATATAGCTGCAGGGGGTGCTCTGCGCCCCCATCGCCGGCACTTCTAATGCTGCAGCCGCCTGAGCGCTCTATAGAGAGCACACAGACGGCTGCCGCACTGCCTCTCTTCTCCCCTTCCCTGTGCAGAGTGGGTGGCCGAGCTCCTCTTCGTCCTGTCAGTCCGGCCGGGTACCGCGCGGTACAGGAGATTCAGTTACCTGTTCCCAGCCGGACTGAAAGGAAGTGCACACTCCATACAGTTCAATCGCCATGGAGCCAAAGTCTTTCCCATAGTCTCCATGGCTTAGCTATCTGGGGGATGCTGTTCATCCGGCGAAACTACCGAATGAACAGTCATTCGGTTCTGCTTACCGAATGGGAAGGTAAGGAGGCTGGTGGCTCAGCGGTGTTCGTGCCAATCAGTGTCCATTTTCAGTTCCATAGTTTGGGCGCTGAACACCGCTGGCCGTTCGGGAGGTAAAATGGCCGCTGCCACGTGTTCGGCAGACGAACAAAGGCCACCCAGCGTTCATCAATTAAGCTGCGGTTAACCGCAGCTTCTGGGCGCTCAATTGACGGCACACTCCAGCTCCCAGGTGGTCCATCGTTCGGTAGTTTGTTCGGTAGATGGAATCTACCGAACACCCTGGCAGAAAGGCACGAATAAACCTTTCAGCAGGGAGAATAACAGCTCTGAACTGCAGGGCCATAATCTAAAGGGAGCAGGCGAGCAACCAGGCTTCTCCAGTGCACAGTGGCGAGGTTGGTTCCGCCACATATGCCTTGAGGTCAGACTCCAAAATTGCACAGAAATGATATTATCCAGCCTGGAATATTGTTCTGGAATTTGTTTAAAGCAAAACACAGCATATACAGACTCTAGGCCAGGGATAGGCAAACTTCGGCTTTACATATGTTATGGACTACATCTCCCATAATGTTCTCGCAGCCATAATACTGGCAAAGCATCAGTGGAGTTGTAGTTTACAATATCTGGAGTGCTGAAGGTTGCCTACCCCTGTTTTAGGCACAATGACCACTTCAAATCACAACATGGGTTGCACTGTTAAAGAGCAATATAAATCCATAGACAAATATGTTAGAGACACATCAACAAAGAATGTGAAAAGTATAGTAGAGAACATATATGTTGAGGGGTTCACACTATAGTGTAAAATAATTGTTCAGATAAACCTAGCCACCATAAATGAAGGAGTTTGTTTCATATTGAATAGAGAGTGTAAAGCAGTGCATAGTAAAATAAGGAAGTGACTGCATAACATCCATAACTAATAAATATGTAAATATCACATTGGCTACTTCAGAGACAAAAATAACAAATCTATTATAGCAGCAAACTCCATCACAGTGCAGCTCAAAAGTCAGCCTTTCCTATCACTTATTATTACAATGTAAATAGTACAACCAAGCATGTAAGGCAATGTGAGATATTTACCTGTACTGAATTAAGATGACAATATCCATTAAGTGGAAATCTAATAACATGTGTAGAGTCATGGTTCCAGCCCGCGTTGACAGAATTACACATTACATCTCCGATTTCTGGAAAAACTTCCTCTATAAGGGACTTGTCTCCACTTAATGTGATCCTTTCTCCAAGATCTGGGGCAACTCTGACTACCAAACATTCACAAGGCCTGGAGAATCGTCCTGCTTCCTTGTCCTGTTTCCACCGCTCTAACTCCAACAACATGGGCTGGAGTTGGAAATATTTTGCTTCTTCATAAAGCAGCGTATAATCCTAAAATGATAATTAAAAAAAACACAGAGAAAAAGTTGTTATTGATAAAACTTAAAGGGACAGTCCCGACCTCGAAAGCATGTCCGCTTGCTGAAGTGCTTTATGTTTGAAGAGTGCTTCCTCTTTTATAAACGCATGCAAGTTTTCATTGGGATAATCAGTGCTAAATAGTGATTTTTTTTATTTTTAGGTGGTTAGAGTGTCCCTTTAATGTTATTTTTGGTAGTGTTTGCCATCAAGGGAAGGAATGGCCAAATGATGCAAACATTATCCCCGCCGCCCATTGGTAGCTGTTTAAAGAAGCCTTCTTGAGAGCATATAGGCATGTAAAAGAAAAATTCACGAGGTTTTTCACATGCCTAAGGTCCATTAAGAAGGGTTTTCAATTGATTTGACATGTAGGCAGCAGAGCCAGCTGCCCATGAGTGAATGCATACTATTGCCCTCTATTCGGGGGCCATTATTAACTGAGAGCACCAGGGTGAGAGAGGACAGAAGCAGCAGCTCTTGGACCCTGCCAAATGTAAGGGTTCACAATTATATTTTCCTTTCTCCCAATAGTCTTAGTAACTGTCTGAGGGCTGATTAAGCAAATGAATTTACTCAAATATATAATTAAAACATAAATAAAGCCAGGGAAGCTCAGGGGTGACAAGGGAAGGGGGGATTTTTTAAACTGAGCACTGTGGTGCCTGTAACTAATAGTTTTAATAACTCCTGCTGCACATACCCACCACCAACACCATTAAAGTGCTCAGCCACTCTACAGCGGAGGCCTGAGACACTCCTGCTTTGGCTAGTTGAAAATCTGTGAAGCTTCATACTGCAAGACTGGGGCTGTGACTATGAGGACTGATCTGATTTATATTTCAATCTGCAATGATTCTTGATTCTGTAAACCTTGTCAGCTACTTCTTAGCTCTATATTACCACAGCAGAATAATTATATTGCCAGCTGCAGAGGTAATAAGTATCCTGCTGCTTTAATCCTGTGTACATTGTGTGCTGAGAGCTGACAGTGAGTCAGGAGTAGCAGATATGGCTGGAGCTTATCAGTATATTGATGCTTTGACCATGTGCGCCCTGTGTTAAGAGTTGATGGAGTAGCTGACATGTTTCATAACAGCAGCAATATTAAACAGAAAGTTTAAGGTTATCATAGCAGGAGCACTACTGAAAACTAGATAATTTAAATGAAAGCTAAGAGAGGGCTAGGACGATGGAAAGAGAGCTGGTGCATTATACAAAAACATGTACTGTGTGGGTTTCTCTATATTGCAGCTCTGTGTAGTCCATCACAGTGAATTTAAAAATAAAATGGCCGCGGGCGGCGAGGGAGCAGTGGGCGATGATCTGCTCAGCTGGCATCACAGTGATGCTGCAGCCGGAATATGACGTCACTCATGCTCCGGCATCACTAAGAGGCGCACGAGGGAGCTGAGCAGGGAGATCACTGCTCCCTCGCCCGCCCAAACGCCACCCACTCAGCAGCCCAACTGGACCCCAGGGTCTGCACACTCAGCCAAGAAGCCCCACTGGACCAATGGGACAGAGACTCCATGCCAGCACTCCAAAGGTAGGGGGGCTGGGTGGAGTAAAATGTTAAAAAATATAATAAGTTGTACGTGTGCCTGTTAGGGAGTTTGTGTGGCTGTGAAAGAGTGTATGTGTGCTTGTCAGTGGGAATGTATGTGTGCTTGTTAGTGAGAGTGTATATGTGTTTGTATGTGTGTCTGCAAAAGGGTATGTGTGTTTGTCAGTGAGAGTGTATGTGTGTCTGTCAATGAGTGTGTGTTTGCAAGTGAGAGTGTATGTGTGTCTGTAAAGAGTATGTGTGTTTGTCAGTGAGAGTGTATGTGTGTCTGACTGTGTCAGTGTGTGTATCTGTGTGTCAAGGTTTGTGTATGTGTCACTGTGTGTATCTAAGTGTGTATGTCGGTTTGTGTGTGTGTGTGTGTATCTGAGTGTGTCAGTGTGTGCACATGACACTGTGTATATGTGTCAATGTGTGTATGTTAATGTAAATTAATTGGGAACGCCTTGTATAGGTATATTTGTACTGTGCTCAGCTTTGTTTATATCTATTTTTATATCTCTATTTTTTCTCATCTTAGTTTGTGGTATGCTTATCTATGTAATGTACTCAACGCTCTGTACTGTATGAGTATTTCTGTACTGTATAGGGAAGAGTAAAATTCTGGGGGATGAGACTGGCGCCCCACTATCTTAAAACATCACAAGCTGCCACTATCTTAAAACTTCACAAGCCGACAAGTGACTATTTACAAATTGGCTGCACGATTTTAACACATGATAACAAAAAATAAAATAAAATATATATCCAAAAATGAAAAAACAAACAAACATACATTTTAAAGCCGATGCCACTAACATAGTAAATGCCCAAGTAAGAGTCAAAAGAAGATTGATGAAATGCTTGTTGGGTAGGTGTTGGTCCATGTACTTTTAATGTATCATTTAATGTAACATTAGTGAACTGCTATGTGATGTCTAAATAATATGTCGCACATCTACCTATGTTTAAAAATAAAGTATTTTAAAAAAAAATAAAAAAATGTGCAAGCTTGCAAGTTTTATTGGTATGGGTGAACATGTTATCCCTTTTTTCCTGAAATAGAATATTGATGGCTGCTATCCATATGTGAGACATTTATCTTCTTCCCCAATAAATTAAATTCTGGTTGTGAGTAAACTGAACAGGCATGCAACACAGTTTTCCTATGAGATGTTATTGGAGACCAGTGATTGAATGAGGGATTTTGTCAGCTGTAATTAGAGACAATCAAATATCTTTATAAACTTACATTTGGGTGACACATATATTACACAAATAGAGTTACAAAGGAGAAAAAACAAATGTAAAAAAATGTGAACTTACTTTGAAATCATCAGAGATGAGGAGTTTTGATGTTCGTAGGAAGTTCAAAATATAGCGAAACATTTGCCCATCTCTGTCAATGAAATAATGCTGCTTTAAACTGTCCAACACAATAGGCTCTGTACCATCAAACAGTCTTCCAATTCTGTAATAACATACAAATAAAAACCTTAGAAACTGTTTATTCACATTGAATACTGCTTTGTTTTTATCCATTTCAATACCACGTATTTGGAAAAAAAAATATGTCAGTCAATATGTACAGTTATAGTTTATGCCATTCTGCCTAGAAACACTTTGTTAAATGACACAACAACATTATTTGTTCCTTGTTTAATGGACAATGGAAAGAAAAACATTGAGTTACAGAGTAATACACTTAAAGAATAGAACACAATATATATTGTATATATATCAACGACGTCACGGCCCGCCAAAACTTTTACATTTGGATGATTTGGGGGCGTGGTCATCACTTAAAGAGCCAACCTACAAAAAAGTACTCACTTGCAATGAATCATTGCCCTGTTGTGGTTCTAGCTTGTCTGTTCCTATAGTGCATACTATGGTTTGGTTTCTTGGTATTTGACTTGGCTCTGATTTTGACTATTCTGTGTTCTCCTTCCCTTTGACTCGGCTTGTTTATTCGCTTGCGTGTTTTCTGGCTCCATCGACCTCGGCTTGTCCCGGACTTTTCTCTGTACTTTCCAACGTTAGTCCGACCATTCTAAGGCCCGGTATACGTTCTTATTTTGCATTCTGCGTATTGGATCCTGACATTATGACAGGGAGAGATGGATCCTGCAAACCCTCAGAGTGGTCCCTACAACCTCCGATTTGAGGCAATGAATCATAGAATGGATCAGATTGCTCTGACCTTGCAGTCATTATTGTCACATTCGAACACTCTGGAAGATGAGAGTCAGGTTTCTCCTATTGCCCCCGTAACAACAGGTTTAGAAGTAGCCACAGTTGGTGCCTCTTCTCACGTTACCTCACCGTTACCTCTGGCTTTTAAACCAGATTAGTATTCATTTTGAGTTACAACCCTGTGCCTATCCAACAGACAGGGCTAAGGTTGGATTTATAATAACCTTACTGATAGAGAAGGCACTTACATGGGCTAATCCATTATGGGAGAACAATAACCCTTTGGCATACAACTACAACGCTTTTGTTGCAGCATTTAGGAGAACCTTTGATCCTCCGGGTAGGAAGGCCAATGCAGCCATGGCAACAGAATGCTTGTGGGATACGCTTTAGAATTCCGATCCTTGGCTGCAGAGGTGAAATGGAACAATCAGGCATTTATGGACGTTTTTCTAAACGGTTTGTCTGATGCTATCCTAGATGAGGAGGCCTTCCAGAGAATCTAGAGGACCTGGTTTTTTAATTTCACGTATCCATGAGACATACCAGAAATACCAGAGATAGAACTCGTACCGTAGACCTTCTATTAGATTGTCCCCTTCTTTTCAGAACCCTGATTCTATGGCTTTAGCAATTCCTGAACCAATGCAACTGGGGGTTACTCGCTTAACTGAAGCAGAGAAACAGTACAGGAGAAGAGAAGGTCTTTGTTTGTATTGTGGGCAACAAGGCTATCTTTGCCTAAATTGCCCTACCAGGCCGGGAAATGTTCCTTTGGAGGACAGGCCTTGGGTGTTTCTATCATGTCCTCCAAAAACCGCAGCCTTCTAATTCCATCTCCTTTTCCAGGGAGAAGAGATCCATAAAAACAATGGCTTTAATAGATTCAGGAGCAGCAGAGAGTTTCATAGATCAGGCCTTTGCTGATAGTCATTCTCTTCCCTCCAAGTTAAGAGCTACACCCTTGGCCGTTGAGGCCATAGATGGTAGACCACTGTCGAAGCCCGTGATTTCCCATGAAACAATATTGGTATCTTACACAAGGAAATAGCCTTACTCCTATTAATCTTCTCTCCAGCTTTTCCAGTGGTTTTGGGGTTTCCCTGATTGAAGAAACATAACCCCATTATTAATTGGGATCAAGGAGAAATAGTATCATGGGGCCAAGGGTGTACTGAGGGATGTTTACAGAAAATCAGACCAATTCTTTTGGTAAAAACACCTACTACAAAGATAACCATTAGAAATGCATCCCCCATTCCTCTGATCACAGAGTTGTTCGACAGATTAAAGGGCTCCAAGATTTTTACCAAGTTAGACTTAAGAGGAGCTTATAACTTGGTGAGGGAGATGAATGGAAAACATCCTTCAATACTCGTTACGATCATTACGAGTACACAGTAATGCCGTTCGGACTATGTAATGCCCCAGCTGTTTTTCAGGACCTAATCAATGAGGTGTTAAGGGATTTTCAACATGTATGCGTTATAGTACATCTGGACGATATACTGATCCATTCCAAGGACAGAGAGGCACATCACAGACAGGTGAAAAATGTATTGTTACGGCTTTTACAACATGGATTGTATTGCACCAATCTCGGATAAGTTTTCTAGGGTATGTCATCTCCAGTGATGGTTTTAAGATGGACCCGGTTAAGCTTAAATCCATTTTACAATGACCTTTACCAAGGGGACTTAAAGCTATACAACGCTTTCTTGGATTTTCCAATTACTATAGGCGCTTCATTAAAGGGTTGTCGTCCATAGTAGCACCTATAACAAACATGACTAAGAAAGGTGCTAATACCAAGACGTGGTCATCCTCTGCTTTATCTGCTTTTGAAACCCTTACGAAAGCTTTTGCTTCTGCCCTAATATTGGTTCATCCCGACACCGCATTACCCTTTTTACTTGAAGTAGACGCTTCTGAAACAGGTAAAGGGGCAGTTTTGTCTCAAAGACAAAGTTCTGATAAACCTTTACATCCATGTGGGTTCTTTTCAAAGAAATTATCCGACACGGAGAGAAGGGATGACATTGGAGATAGGGAGCTGGTGGCAGTAATAATGGCATTGAAAGAATGGAGACATCTGTTAGAAGGGACATTACATCCGGTTACCATTTTAACAGACCATAAAAACCTGTCTTATATAGGATATAGGAAAATCTGTCTTATATATTTGATATTTCAGATGACAAAGGTAGAAAGACAATGTAACAGAGCAGCTGGAAATGCTAGCAGAATGCGTGGCTGTATAGGGAGAGGTATTAGCAGTAGAAAGAGAGAAGTGCTCATGCCATTGTACAGAACACTGGCGAGACCTCACTTGGAGTACTGTACACAGTACTGGAGACCGTATCTTCAGAAGGATATTTATACTTTAGAGAGAGTTCAGAGAAGGGCTACTAAATTGGTTCATGGATTGCAGGATAAAACTTACAAGGAAAGGTTAGAGGAACTTAACATGTATAGCTTGGAGGAAAGACGAGACAGGGGGGATATGATAGAAACATTTAAATACATAAAGGAAATCAACACAGTAAAGGAGGAGACTATATTTAAAAGAAGAAGGAAAACTACCACAACAAGAGGACATAGTCTTAAATTAGAGGGGCAAAGGTTAAAAAATAATTTCAGGAAGTATTACTTTACTGAGAAGGTAGTGGATGCATGGAATAGCCTTCCAGCTGAAGTGGTAGAGGTTAACACAGTGAGGGAGGTTAAGCATGTGTGGGACAGGCATAATGCTATCCTAGACTTAAGATAAGGTCAGGGACTAATAAAAAGTATTTCGAAATATTGGGCAGACTAGATGGGCCGAATGGTTCTTATCTGCCGTCACATTCTATGTTTCTATTTGCTTCTGAACTTCCACCTTTGCAGATGTAACACACTCGTCAAACTGGTATTAGTTTCTGAGCATCCTCTATCACATGTTTATTGTCACAAGTTCATTATCGGTATTTGGTTGCAGAGCTTCTGCTATCACAGTGGTCAAATGCTCACTAATAACTGGTATTTGATTACTTAGATTCCACTTATTACAGAGATTACACACTTATCAACTTGGAACTGTTACTTAATTGTTTTTGTTAGGGAGCATTCCCTGTCACAGAGGAAACACCATCCGCTGATGTGTTATAAATGTCTTTTACAACTGACAATCTATGGTCTTTCGCTTCTCTTGTTTGTTTTTTTGTGTGTTTTCGGTGCTTTCGTCTACACCTCTATTATTCACTGTTAATATTATATCTCACAACACTTTAGGTTCTGACATGTCATTCCTTCTTACATTTAAAGTCCAGGGTTTGCTCCAAACATGTGTCTGGTTATCCACAAGTTGATATTTTGTGTTCACCTACCCTCGCTTCTTGGTATATAAGGGGTTTTGATATTCATATATACTGCCCACCTTATACATGGCCTATCGCACACATTCATTCATGATAAGAACTGATCAACACGTCATGTCTCGCCATGTATGCCTCATACCGACCTTAAACTATTTGGATCAATTTTAGCATACACGGTCAACTGGATCATTTAATATACTATTCAATTTTTTTCTGTATTCTTTGGTAACAGTTGTGACAAAGTGCCCTTCGCCACTTGGTCCTGGAGGGCCTGCTTGCCAGCCTCTTCCCCTGTGACTATGACTCTTTGATGTATTTGGCTTTAAAGCCCCTATTCTACCTTCAGAGAAACTATTTATGTAGGTTGCTTTATTTCTCTTATGTTTTAGTCACCCTGTAACCATTATAGGTGCAGGGTGTGTGTAATTTAATTGTTTATAGTGTGTACTGTGAAATGTATTGCCTGCTCTCCTGTACTCCTCAGGTTTGCTACCAACTAGGTGGATTTGGCTATGGAGCTTGTCAAGTGCCGACTGTTGGTAGCAACAGCAATATGCACTACCTGAATAGCAAGACTGGTTCATTTACATATTCGGGTAGATTTGCATATTGCTAATTCTGCAGGCACGTGAGATATTTTCTGTTAAATATTGTCCACTCCTTTAAAAATATGCCATTGTGTTACAATAAGTCACGGTATGTTGCCTGCTATGATTTGGCTGTTTGTAATTTTATTGAGTTTTCACAGCATTGTTAATGTAATGACCATATGGGCTAGTCCCAAGTAAAATAAAGGTTTAGACAGTTCTTCTTGATCCCTCTAAATGTAGCCTTGTCTTGTTATTGGAGGGAGCTGTTATAATCGCACTGGGGATTGCTATGCTCTGCATACTCCCCTGAGCTTGAATCACTTAGCTCTTTTAAGAGCTTGTTCCTGACACTCTCTCCTTGGAGGAGAGGTCTTCCCCACACAGTCCTGGATGCTGGAGGTATACAGGGTGGACGGAAGACGGCGAGGCTCCAGGTAAGCTACGGCGGTTGTGGTGTTCGGTGTGGTGCTTATGGTCCTCGGCTCAAGCTAGGAAGCTTCCATCAACCGAGGGTACTTGGTCGGAGCTCTGTTACAACAGGTATCACTAGAGTATTTTTCATTATGGGCTCATTTTACTTTACCTACCTTACTGACAACCACTCTGTATATTTTTACATTTAGTACCTAGTTATGAGCCCCAAGCTCTTTTTCTAAATTTGGTTTTAGGTTATTGAACCGCTGTACACCTTTTGCTATTCACTTATACTTACTGTCAAGTTCTAGCCTCCAAGCTTTCATAAACTACTCATTTTACCAGTCTTCAAGTTGTATATCTATAGACCCAAATTAGGTTTCTTTGTTAATTATTTTTGTTCTGAGATAGCTGGTATTAATATTTTTGCCTTCTTTTTTTTTTCAAGCCTTCATGTGATTGGTTTCGGCACACCACAACCAAGTTCCTCTTACTGGTTGGTATAGCTCAAACCTTATTCACTACCTTCGGCCTTTGTCCCTGACCACAAAGGCAGTATGCTGGAATTGTGGGAAGGGTTTTGTCCAGTATATATCTACCTCCCTTCAGATACACCATGAAATTCTGTCGATGACTGGAACCCCATCAAATTCTCCCTATAGGTGAGTCCTCTTTTTTTTCCAGTGCTACCTATGTCTTGCCCAAAATGTACACTCTCAGTATTTCCAAAGCATATTAAATATTTAGGTAGAATCATGAAAACACATGCACTAGGTATATCACTGGCACAAATACTCACCATTCAGGTTTACTTTTTATTTATTTAAGGCCTAATGGTCTGCTGGGTAATGTAACCAAACGCAAAATAAACAGTTTGTTGTTACGAAAAATCAAAACCAAATGACACTAAACTTTGATTTAGAAAACTTCAAACAAGTTTTAGGTTATTAAGAAATACGAAGAAGCATATACAAAACAAATTCTAACATATAAAATGACATTTGTAAAAACAAATATACATTTCCTGATTTAAACCTGTGGTCTAGCTTCTGTATTGCATGATTACTCCTCATATTTTGTTTTTGCCACGGACTGTAATTTAAGTTTAAATGAATAAATGGAGGATTTAATATGTGATTTATACGAAGGAGAAAGTAACAGGATTTAAAGCACTCTAAAAGAGATAGTTCTTCAGTAATTGCTAACTGAGGTTAGAAGTGCAGCAGGGACAAGTAAATAAACACACTTCTGTTGCATATCTGTGTTCAGGATGACTTGATGGCCCCACGATGCTCCTGGCATAAAAAAGCCATAAGTGCTTGTTCGGAATCCTCAAATGGGTTTGCATGGCATGCTCTAGTTGTGGGAGACATACAGTGCAAAAAAAAACCCCCAAAAAACACTAAAATTATCCAGAAAAAAAAAAAAAAATAGCACAATCCATAGTTACCTTTTCTTTAGCAATCGGAGTGTACAAAACGCTCAGTTGTGCCAGTTCTACTTTAAGAGAAACATAGTTTTAATGGCATCGACATCGAGTAGAAAATTTAAACCAAAATAACAGTATATCTACTGAAAAACTTCCAGAGAACAATAGGTAAGAAAGATTATCTAAAACTAGAAACTAAAACCAAATCAGTGATATATAGATTGTGAGCCAAAAAGCACCTTTCAATTACTCAAAAATAGCACAATGAAAAGGAACACTATAGTCACCAGAACAACTACAGCTTAAAGGGACACTATAGTCACCTGAACAACATCAGCTTAATGAGGTTGTTCAGGTGAGAGCTATAGCTCCCTGCAGCCTCTCTTTCTTATGTAAACACTGTATTTTCTGAGAAAATACATTGTTTACATTGAAAGCTAGGAACACCTCCAGTTGCAGTCACTCAGAGTGAACCAGAGGGACTTCGGAGTTGATGGAGGCATAATGTGTGTGCAGAGCATCCTGTGATTCAGTATCTCCTCCCTCTGCATGCAGACACTGAACTTTCCTCATAGAGATTCATTGATTCAATTCATCTCTATGAGGAGATGCTGATTGGCCAGGGCTGTGTTTGAATCATGCTGGCTCTGCCCAGTCTCAGCCAATCCTATGGGGAAGCACTGTGATTGGATCAGGCTACCACATGTCAGCAGACTGCTTGTTTTTCTGAGTCTAACAGCATACAGATTTACAGCTTCAGGCTTGAATATAGTAAGATTTTTACTATATTTATGGAGGTATGAGGGGCCCAGGGGGGCTAGATGGTGGTGTTAACATTATAGGGTCAGGAATACATGTTTGTGTTCCTGACCCTATAGTGATCCTTTAATGTATTTGTTCTGGGGTCTACAGTATACCCCTGCAGGCTTCTTCATTTAAACACTGCCTTTTCAGAGAAAAGTGTTTACATTACTCGTCTACAAACACCTCTAGTGGCAGTCATTCAGAGGTGCTTACTGGGCACAGCACTCTGGACGCTCCCTATAGAAATGCATTGATAAAATGCAACTCAATGAAGAGATGCTACCAATGCATTGGATTGGCTGAGATCACCAAATTTGTTGATCATATCCAAGGAGGCAGAGCCGGCATCAAAGAGACCCACGTGTTACTGGGTAAACGGTGATTACAATCTCCCATTTAAAAGGGGAAAAGGGGAGCCGGACCCATATAGCCACCTAAAAAGCACATTTAGAGCTATAGTGTCAGGAATACATGTTTGTAATTCTGACACTATAGTTTTCCTTTCTTCTTTCTTCTATTGCTTTCAGACTTGTATACCATTCTACTTTTTGGATATTTAATATCTAAAGTCCATGGCTCAAGCAAACACACAAACAGGTTTGAAAGAGACCGTTAATAGAGAGAGATACACTTGTGTCAGAGGTCGTGCTATGTATCAAAAATCCATCTAACTAGTTTGTGAAAGCTGTAAAGTTATATACAGAGTTCCTATCTGTTCTTACATTAACCAGTTCAGCTGCGGCAGAGATACATAATCTCTGTTTTACTAGCACATATCGAGGTAACAGGACATTTTCTTTATATCTTCCTTTGCCTTGACAAAGAACGACAACTGTCTATACAGTTACCTGGTCATTTCAGGGTGACTGGAATAAAGGCCATTTAAAAGCAACTTTGGAACCATTTACTGCCCATTGTGGGAGCTGGAGACAATTTAACCATAGCCTGCCTTTGATGCCTCCGGCATACCTCTACTGGATTATTAAAGATGATCCTGCCTAACCTTTTAATAACAAATGCTAGAAATGAATTAAAACAACAGCCAAGATAAAGTCTACATTCCTGATATTAGTAAGCAATAGTGTGCTACTTGCATTCTGAATGCTGTAAATTCAATGCAATTAATTTGTATTTCTTTGAATCACATGTACAGATGGTATGTAGAAACACCTACATCGTGCATGTTAAAGTCCATAATGTAGTCTTTTTTTAAGTCACTATTTGTGCTTTTGTGTTGCAGTCATTATCATTAGTAAAGACCTTTTTTTTTTTTAGCATGTTTTAGTAATAAACCAACGCTACAGTTTTTCATTCTTTACACATTTCTGCATATTTATCCTTTAACAAAGATACACATCTGGGAGATTTGTTTCCCTGCAGCAAATACACTAATATTATGTGCTCTAAATACTTCATGCATCAGCATATGTTATAACAAAGTCATTTTGGTAAATACTTGTATAAATATGCAGATATATTTTTAAAGGAACATCATGTAATAGTTCACAATTCCTTTTATCAAGGTATGTTATTGTAGAAATAAAACGTATTGGTTAAAATATATTTTTGATGTTCCTAATTATTAACTTTATAGTTGAACTTCCGGCCTTGAACACACATTTACTGTGGGATTTTGAAACCTTAAAATAATTATGGATCTAGACAAGACACCACCCATACCTCAATGGCTCTTAACCTGGAATTACACAGCTGCCTGCGAAGGAAGCAGGAGTCATGTAAGGACATTTACATACACTGTTCTCTGGCTGAGCCTGCAGGCTCCCAGAAGTGACTTGACAACACCCCTCTCAAGTAAAAAAACAAAAACAATTTGCATGGTGTTAAAATGCAACACCAGATGCTCACTACAAATACAAACACACGGCAATTAAATGCAGAAAGTGTGTAATGTGACACAGATCCAGACATAATTGTTATGATCAACAAACACAAAGAGCCATTAAACTAGCATAGACCATCTTCTAAAGTGAAGTAGGTGTCAGTTTAGGAGTAGTTCAACAAGCTTCCATTTCTTGTACAACTACAACTCTGACGATGCTTTGCAACTCTTATTTCATTTTGTTATGCTGTTGTGGAGAAACTGGTCAAATCTAATGCTCCTTTTATATCTGTATCTTTTTCATAAGTCTTTCTGCAAGCACACACAAGCAAATGCTCAAGCCTGTCCTGATAGAAAGTTTAACATAAACTAAAAATGTCGACTAATAAATGTCGCAAAGCCTGAAAACTTAGCCTGAAAAAGTCCTTCGAGTGTGGTTCTCTCAAAGTGTGTGTGGTTTTGTGGACCACTGAATCTGGCTTTAAATACTTTACAGAATGCAGAGTGCCAAAAACCCTCTGCTAGCAAATGCTTTTGAGAAAAGGAAATATTAAAAACAAAAAAAACTGTCAAAACATATTCAAGTCAATAACTACATTATGAAGAAGAAAAAATGAAGGAAGCACATTTACTATTCTATTCTTATAACAAACTCACATGAACTAACAAACATCACAATACAAAACAGGGACAAGTTTGTGATCATCTGAAGCAGTTTTTTTGGCAAAAGATGGCAAAAAGCAAAGGTAGAAAAAAATAAAAAATAAAAACCATCTCCCAGATCTTGCCATTTTTCTCAGCCAATACTTTTAAGAGATGATGGAAAAACCTTTCATAGATTATTTTTTTTATTCTTATGTTTACATCAGTTCTGTTGGCTTCATCTACAGGAGAACATTTTCCATCTCTAAGTCCATTCACGATAAATTTGAAGGAAGGTTCCGTGACATCTGTCTGTTTGTGCAGCAGTTTCACTCATGTCTTTTCATGAGTGAAACAGTTTTAAGAGTGAGTAAAGGGATTCTGTGATGGTTTTTGCACACCTCTTGAAGATATCAAGATGGGCTGAAAACTTTTTTTTTTCTTTTCTTCTTCACCTAGGGAGAACTCACTGCAACAGTATGCATATTTTAATGCTTTATCTATGTTATTCATATGAAAATAGAGAAACATCCTAGGGAGGCATCATCACATATTTGTCTAAAGCTTTATATAGACAATGCTTCAGATAATGAAAATACATTTAATGCAGAATGACCCCTTTTGTAGGTTTCAACAGGAACCTGATTTGCTTCCTCTAAAACTTGAAGACAAGTATGTGAATACTGTTACTCGTTCTATACATTAAAGTCTATCTGGGTGAACGCAGTATTCAAGAGAAGAGATTGGTGTGTCTATTTTAGAATATGGATTTCACACCACAATTAAAAACAGGCTATGCATAGCTCTGTAAACTGGGACAAGTGCCTCTATTTGGAGGTTGTTCTCCTCAGGGTCACTTTCCAAGAGGTAAAGTTTGGAACTTACAATAGTAAAAACCCATTTCCATCTGCAGGCATCCTTCATTCCCTCAAGATGTCTGACACACAGCCACTCTATGAGCCAAAGATGGACGTGAATTTCAACTCAGCCAGGAGGCAATGTACGGTTTCTGACATTTTGTTTGGCAGTGTCATACTGAAGGTGCAGGTCTCTAAACATACAGTCAGACTCGGTTAATACAAATCCCGCTTACAACTCCTAACTGATATTACTGTTGACATCTGACTGAAAATTAAGAAGTGCCATGGAATGGGTTTTACAGATGCTTAGTCACACAAAGTAACAAACTTGAATAGATTTTAATTTAAATGATGCATTTATTTACATTATTTAATATGAGATGGATTGAAGATACACAGCTAGGTTTATTTTTACTAGTCTACTTGCATACGGCAAACGTAAAAAAAATTATGAAATACATATATTCGACAGATAATATACAATCGTTCCCATTTTATCAACATTGGATAGATACAAAAGGCTGAGAGGAATTTTACAGGAGCTAAACCTATAACTCACAGTTAAAAGAGATTTAACAAGCATTGAAAACAGATCACTAACTGTTCAGATAATTTTGATAAATGAATAACATCAATTAATAATGATATTCAAAAGCAGACTAGAATAAAAAGTTAGGAAAACACAATCAAGATTCCTTGCGCAAAATTGTCAAGATTTGAAAACTGTGTGTAATGTAACTGATGTCAAATACAATGTAAAGTGATGCATCAAATTACACTCAATAATAATTTTTTTTTTTTAATATATATATTTTGTTTTTCTTTGCAGCCATGAATTGTTTTCAGTGTAGCAAGATGATTTCATAAAATTATAATGAGCCACTATGGGATTTATCACATATCAAGGGATAGAATCCAAATCTAACCAAACTTAGAACAAATAAAATGCAACGCATAGATCTACAGAACATTGTTCATGCGTAACATGCATGGCCTCCTTTGCAAGATTGGAGTTGCCTGGGCAACAGGGGCCAGGTTTCCTTGGCAAGGTAATACAAACTGTCATGCATGTATATTTATACTGAGGAGCTTGTCTGGCCCGGAGAGGCACCAAAAAGTGTCTAGCTTTATGAACATGTGCCTCTCCTTTTGCATTAATTATACTCGCTTTTGTAAATCTGATTAAGTTTGTAGACCCCTTTTAATGGCAGTAGCGGTCTGGCAAAACCACTTTTGGGGAGACAGAGTTTTAGTTAAACCTTGCTCCATTAATCTACTTCCATTGACAGTTGATCTTTCCCTTTCATGTTTTTATGAAATAATATTCTAAATATGCTGAAGTAGTATTTAGATACAAACTTTCAATTCTGCATCTTATTTATTCACTCCCTGGTGAAGTGAGGTTTCTTATTCTCAGCCGTGATTTCATAGAGTTATTATTGGTATTTATATAACGCCAACTAATTCCGCAGCGCTTTACAATATTATGAAAGTGGGACATTTACAATAAATGAGACAAGTTCCCACTTTCTATAAGCTCCGATCCAGTACAAGCACTTTACTTAGTCTACCTCAATACAAAAAGAAAGCGGCCCGATCCTCCTTTTCCTACAGAGCGCCGCAATTGTGGAACGACCTCCCGCACAATTTAAAATCTTCCCTAAGCTTAAAGTCATTTAAGAGATCCCTCTCTACATACCTCAAAACAGAATGCACGTGTCATGGTTGATTATATATTTCCTGCCTGTTCTATGTTAAATTTTGTATATATTGTGTATTAATATTGTTTTTGTATTTTGTTGTACCTAATGTAACAATGCAATGATTTGTGGACCCAGGACATACTTGAAAACGAGAGAAATCTCAATGTATCTTTCCTGGTAAAATATTTTATAAATAAATAAATAAATAAATTTCACAATGACACAGGAACAATAGGTAGATGAAGGCCCTGTTCAAACGAGCTTACAGTTATGTTCAAAATTCCAAAATCTTCCACCAGTAAACATTTTCACATATAATTGCTGAAATACACTTTTGCTGTCCCAAAAAGAAGAACTTCTCTTTTGAGATTTTGCAAGTATTCAATTTTTCCCTCTTTTGTCGACATTTAGCTTTACCTGTATAACGTTAAAGATATTAGCTCTGTCATGTCAGTAGGTTTTGATTAAAGATCACTTTTTATGACAGAGACATAAGGTTCTGTGGGGCACACGCTCTTAAGGGATCATTTATTTTATTTGCATTGACTGCTCACATTGCTTTAAGACAGGAAGGATTTTCATTTGTTATCCGAACTACACAGCCTCTAGATCTTCTTCTGGCATTTAGAAAAGAAAAGGAAAAAAAAAATCAATTTCAAGATGAGTATCGGTGCTCAGCACCTATTTTGTGAATTTAGATGTTAATGCCATAGAAGTTAAATACATTTAAAGTGACAATCTATTTTGTTCTTGTAACAAATACTTTTTTATTTTATAGAAGACTGAACTGAGAACAAATGGGCCAATTGAAAATCTGTTAGTGAAACTCTTGTATATATGACTGCATATATATTTACATTATTTATTAAAACTCTACTATAAAGCTTGCAATCGGGTTTGCTGACAGGAAACAACTACCCCTTGATTTAACATTTCTAAAATGGCTGACCTGTTGTGGCTTTAAGGCAAAATGCAAAAAACACAGCATCCTATAGGGCTGTGTTTGAAAAAATTCTGATCTGTATAGTCTTATTAGAGGGCAAATTTAGTCACCGGATAATGTAATCCCTAATGACACACTACAAGATATGTCAGTGCACCACTATGATGGTTAACCTTTGAAACGGAGTCAGACACTGTAATCCCTACAACCATTTCATCCCATTAAATTGTTAATAGTGCCCTGAGTTCCCTGGCACTGTCTGTCCACTCAATGTGTAACCATTTTCCAACATTTTAGTACTGATGGGTCCTTGGCCACTCAATGTTCAACTCCTACTGGTCATGTGGTTAAAGCGGAAACTATACACTTCCTTGTAGTCATATCCATTCATACAGTCAATGGGAGTTCTGATAGGCCAGAAGCATTCAGATGACACTCAGTCAATCACAGCTGGCAGGGGACTCTAATTTAGCATTAAAACCTAAAACATGTTTACTGCTTACAATAGATTATTAAAATACACTTTTGCTTATTTAGCACTAGCACTACTGAATTTGTCGCCAGCGTTGGAATTAGTGTAGCACAAACAGATATTGGGGTACTGTGAAGTAGTGGTGGGTTTAACACAGTATGGCCATATTATGGAACTGGATCCCCGTATTTGTTTGCCAAGATAGAAGATTTTAAGTAGCCAGATCATATTTAACAATCTATGATTATGTGTGCTCTTCCTTAATCTGTATATTGTTATAAACTCTGTCCTTTTCACCAAGCAGGCTTCTCAGTACTGCAGAGAAAGCAAACAAAAAAATAAGAGAAATTAAACATTTCTGTTTTTCTTCTTTGCAGTGTGCACCACCCTGGTTTTACCTTGTCTGAACGTTACCATGTTGTAATTTTCTAATATACATTTAAAGAAAAATGGAATATGAACAAAGCTTAATACAAATTAAAGGGGATTTTTGTGTGTTTTAATCAATGTTGTGAAAAGTGACAGATCTCTATGTTGTTGTGCATCTGTAGGTAGGTCTTGGTTTGCATGAACTATATATATTTTGTATCCATCTACCAAAATAAGAGAATTCTACATTTTTGCAACAATAGTCAACATGGAAATATTCTCCAACCTAGCTATTTGTTCTACTCTGCTCTTTCCGAGTTAAAAAGTCATCCATTAAGACTTGATTTTAGAAAGGGGAATTCACAACAAGGAAAAAATTATTTAAATGTAAACAAAAAGGATGTGGAATTCTCAGCACAGAGGGTAGTTTTCAGATATTTCAGATATTTTTTAATTTATTTTTTTAGCCTGGATATTCTAGGCAAATGCAGGGCACAGATTGTTAATCTGACGAGAATTTAGATTGCCAATTTTGAGTCAATTAGGAATTGTTTTCTATCTTTTGCAGCATAATAACAAATTGCTTTAAATTGGGTTTTTGTCTTTTTTTGGATCAGAAATGAGAAGAGGTATAAAATAACGAACTTGATGGACTTGAATTTATTTTTTCCACCTAGTATAAGATATACTGAATAACCCTACATATTTTTATATAGATTGGTGGCAGTTATATGCTATGTTTATTGCATCAGTGACAAATTGCTGTTGCCTTTACTTTTATTCTAACGGGACCATAGAGCATTTAACATGCATTGTACAGTATAGAATGCATATCACCCATCAAACCTTTTTCTCTTTGATGTAGTTTCCTTGAATGTCTATTTAAATACAACGATCAGTGAGCAATGTGACTAGCTTGGATTTTATTCAGCAATAAACCTACAAATTTTACAAATAGTGCAATATATATTTTTAATACAAACTAAATCCTAACATTTCATAAAACATGTCTATGTAGAAATCGGTGATAATGTTTAACCGTGTTTGATTGCCCTTCTAGTTAATGCCAGTTTATGAAAATCTGGGTGTATATATTAATACCGCTGAATATTTGCCTTTTAGAGGCACACACCCTGTATGTTGCCTGGGGTTTAATGGAACTGAACTCAGTCTGTGTTATTGTGCAATATCGGGTTAAGTGCCAAACCTAAGAGAAGAGCAACATAGCAACAATTTATGCAGTGCCAGGGGTTTTCACAAACACACTTCTGAAACCATGTCGGAATCTACCATTTTATATAGTGTGTTTGACAGGTCGCGTTATTTATGGGAAAAGAAACTCCGAAAGATGAGTATCATTTCTTTTTTAGCAAGACATTTTCAGTAAAATGCTCTAAATTTGAAAATATAAGCAGAGCAAATAATCTGTGCTTATTGTTGCCTGCAAATGATAGTACATTACTGACAAGGGAGCTCCTTAATAGGTGGTACATTGTATGTCCCATATCGGCCTTACTAAAACAAACAAATGCTGGAGGTGTTTTTAGGGGATTAGGATGATATCCCATGTATGGTGGGGTGTTCTATGCTTCTAAATGCCTCATTTTGTTTATTTTCTCTGTAACATTCCACAACCAATTACAGAAACATAGTCTTTTACATGCTAGTAGTGGCCCTCACTTTGTTAGCCCAAATCAACGGCCAGGATCTGCCACCCTACCCGTACTTGTGGCCTGGAAACATCCTCCTGTTGCACTCACCTCAATCACGAATTCCCATATAGTGAAGTTTGAAGTATCTTATCAGCTGTGCCTGCAACTATCCGGTTTTTGAATATGACCCAGTGCATTTGCCTGTACACGTATGAATCTTAGTCCTTATATGTTTTACTTTGCTACAGGGCTGGCTTTGTAAACTATTCACAGACTAAATTAAGGTGCCAAGTACAACTGTGTACTGTACCCCTCCTTCTTACACCACGTATTTTTACTAGTTATTTTCTTTTTATCTACTACCACTTACTTTAACATATTATGTAGGTTGTTGAAGCAGCCCCCATCTTGGGTTTACGAAATTGTCCATATTATATATGATATTTGTCATATCCTTTATCGGTGCTTGTGGACCCATTGGATTATTTATGTGCCTCACTGTTCTAAGTTGTACTTTAACCCCTTAAGGACACATGACGTGTGACATGTCATGATTCCCTTTTATTCCAGAAGTTTGGTCCTTAAGGGGTTAAGCCAATAAAATATAAGTTGTAAACAAAAAAACTCAAAAAATATTAAGGAAATACTTCCGGTGATATTTTTCTGAAAGGCTTAACACTGTTTAATACAAGAATTAGACAACTAATAGTAGTGAAATATAAAGAAAAATGTAAGCACATAATTAAACACACTGCCACACTGTTCAGGTTAAAAAGTGATTTAAATTTTTTTTTGTCATATTTCGTGTGTAAATTTTTACCAGCATGAAAGGAAATATTCTATTATTACTTTAACTGTAACATTTTCTTGTGACATGCCACAGATTATTGAATGAAACCATAAGAGAACATTCTTAGTATATACGCATAGAGCAGGTCATAGAACACTAAATACATTGAAATTTCAAGACGCAATGCTGGAGTGATATAATATTCCTATTCCTCCCAGCAAGAATGAACAAAGGGTAGCTACTGTAAATTGATTCCCATGATGCTTTGCCATTCTTAAAACTAGCAAAGCATTATGGGACTTGTACTTCTACCACAGTTGGCCAACCCTGGTTTGCAGAATATGTGCCTTTATAAAGTTCCTGCAACAAACTAAAAGAGGGTTTATAATTTCCCTGTTTTAACATATAATGGCAGACAAAATATATTTAGCCTTCATTCATTCTCTAAGAAAGTTATTACATTTAATATATTGCAGTGACATCAAGCATCAGCTATAATTAAGATAAAGTAGTTATAAAGTATGATGCACCTTGGATAAAAACAGTACAGGGACAATAATTAACATGTAATTATGTAACTTATTTTTAATACCTCAGAAACAGGCCAAAACCTTTAGTTTAAGGTCACTGCTCTATGGTTACTTAAGTTTTCTTGTGGATGAGTAAAAATGAAAACAAACTGCTTATAAACATTGTTTATATGTAAAAGTGGTAAACATTTTCAACACTATCACATATCAAGCTCAGTCTCTCATACTCATGCAGCCCACTTTTCTTTTCAGGAGAGTATCTTTACACTTCGATATGTATATTTAAAAGTTCAGTCTGGGTACAAACACTTCTTAAAGGACACACTAAAGACCACTTCATCTCAATGTATGAGAAAGGTAGGAGGAGACCGTGCCCCAAACAATATTTATACGTACACAGGTCTTTTTAAAGCTGTACACACAATTGAACTCAAAGATAAAAGCAAAAAAATATAATAGTGCAGTACAGTATATCTGATGAATAGGTGGTAAAGTAATCTTATGTGGTTATCACTCACATTTGATAGAGCTAACTTAGAGCTCAGCTGTATTGCACATGGACGGAACAATCCCCATCTAAGGATATATGTTGGTATAGACGTCCCAGATGTCTCAAATAAGGTGCAATGTGCAGGACAAATGTAAAAATAAGTACAAGAAAAAATATTCCAATGGTGAAGTAAGTACTAATAGGTAGCGATGTCGCGAACGGTTCGCCACGGACTCATCATTGAGTAAACTTTGACCCTGTACCTCACAGTCAGCAGACACATTCCAGCCAATCAGCAGCAGACCCTCCCTCCCAGACCCTCCCACCTCCTGGACAGCATCCATTTTGAAGCTGCATTCTTAGTGAGCTGTCCAGGAGGTAGGAGGGTCTGCTCCTGATTGGCTGGAATGTGTCTGCTGACTGTGAGGTACAGGGTCAAAGTTTACTCAATGATGAGTCTGCGGCGAACCGTTCGGGACATCACTACTAATAGGTATAAAAAAGAAATGTACTTACATTTACCAGAGCAGAACTTGCTCTGGTATATACAGCATGGGTGGTATAATCTCCACCTAGCAATATGATGGTAACAGGAGGCAAAGAAATAATTGGATAAAACTAAATACAGTTGAAAGAAAAAGTATGTGAACCCTTTGAAATGATATGGATTTCTGCACAAATTGGTCATAAAATGTGATCTGATCATCATCTAAGTCACAACAATAGACAATCACAGTCTGCTTAAACACACAATAACACACAAAGAATGAAATGTTGCCATGTTTTTATTGAACACACCATGTAAACATTCACAGTGCAGGTGGAAAAAGTATGTGAACCCTTGGATTTAATAACTGGTTGAACCTCCTTTGGCAGCAATAACTTCAACCAAACGTTTCCTGTAGTTACAGATCAGACGTGCACAACGGTCAGGAGTAATTCTTGACCATTCCTCTTTACAGAACTGTTTCAGTTCAGCAATATTCTTGGGATGTCTGGTGTGAGTCGCTTTCTTGAGGTCATGCCACAGCATCTCAATCGGGTTGAGGTAAGGCCACTTCAGAAGGTGTATTTTCTTCTGTTTAAGCCATTCTGTTGTTGATTTACTTCTATGCTGTGGGTCATTGTCCTGTTGCAACACCCATCTTCTGTTGAGCTTCAGCTGGTAGACAGATGGCCTTACGTTCTCCTGCAAAATGTCTTGATAAACTTGGGAATTCATTTTTTTCTTCAATGATAGCAATCTGTCCAGGCCCTGACGCAGCAAAGCAGCCCCAAACCATGATGCCCCCACCACCATACTTCACAGTTGGGATGAGGTTTTGATGTTGGTGTGCTGTGCCTTCATTTCGCCACACATAGTGTTGTGTGTTTCTTCCAACAACTCAACTTTGGTTTCATCTGTCCACGGAATATTTTGCTAGTACTGCTGTGGAACATCCAGGTGCTCTTGTGCAAACTGTAAACGTGCAGCAATGTTTTGTTTGGACAGCAGTGGCTTCCTATGTGGTATCCTCCCATGAAATCTATTCTTGTTTAGTGTTTTATGTATTGTAGATTCGCTAACAGGGATGTTAGCATTTGCCAGTGACTTTTGTAAGTCTTTAGCTGACACTCTAGGATTCTTCTTCACCTCATTGAGCAGTCTGCGCTGTGCTCTTGCAGTCATCTTTACAGGACGGCCACTCCTAGGGAGTGTAGCAGCAGTGCTGAACTTTCTCCATTTATAGACAATTTGTCTTACCGTGGACCGATGAACAGCAAGGCTTTTGGAGAAACTTTTATAACCCTTTCCAGCTTTATGCAAGGCAACAATTCTTAATCGTAGGTCTTCTGAGAGCTCTTTTGTGCGAGGCATCATTCACATCAGGCAATGCTTGTTGTGAAAAGCAAACCCAGAACTGGTGTGTGTTTTTTATAGGGCAGGGCAGCTGTAACCAACACCTCCAATCTCATCTCATTGATTGGACTCCAGTTGGCTGACATCTCACTCCAATTAGCTCTTGGAGATGTCATTAGTCTAGGGGTTCACATACTTTTCCCACCTGCACTGTGAATGTTTACATGGTGTGTTCAATAAAAACATGGCAACATTTCATTCTTTGTGTGTTATTAGTTTAAGCAGACTGTGATTGTCTATTGTTGTGACTTAGATGATGATCAGACCACATTTTATGACCAATTTGTGCAGAAATCCATATCATTCCAAAGGGTTCACATACTTTTTCTTGCAACTGTATGTAAATATAAAATTTACTATTTCTTTACCATACAAAAACAATAAAAACTGTATAAAATAACTTGAAGGAGTCCCACTTAACGCGTTTCGCCTGTCCAAGACTTCTTCAGAAGTGTGGTAAAGTCCTCATAAGTTTCGTTTATATAGGCAGTCTAAGAATGAGAAATGCTTCCTGGTGTGCTTGAGTGACCGCTTCCTGTAACCATTCTTGATTGACAGCTTCATGTAACCATATGCGTTACAAGCTGGAACGCATATAATACTGCACTGGTAAACGCTGCGTCACTTCCGGTATGATGCGTGTGTTCCAGAATGGTTACAGAAAGCTGTCAATCAAGCACACCAGGAAGCAATTCTCATTCATAGACTGCTGGTGAACCTTTTTAAGCCCGAGTGCCGAAACCGCAATACATGCCAACTTTTGTTTTCCTCAAAGTGCCTGAATACTGAGGTTTAAGTTTAGAAAAAAAAAACTTGTACAGTTGTCCGAACTCATTAACAACTTTTGTTTTAAAAGAACAAAACAACAAAGAGTTCAATGATACAAATTTTAAATATTGATATAAATAGATCAAATTAAGCTTATATTTATTAGTATCTCCAACAAATGGAATACACACACACACAGTCTGCTGAATACACATACAGACAGTCTGCTGACTACACATACAGACAGTCTGCTGACTACACATACAGACAGATTGCTGAGTACACACACAGTCCGCTGAATACACACACACAGTCCACTGAATACACACACTGCTGAGTACACACAGACTGCTGAATACATACACACACACACACACAGACTGCTGAAGACACACACACAGACTGCTGAATACATACATACACACACCGACTGCTGAATACACACACATACAGACTGCTGAATACACACACATAAACTGCATTGAGGGGTGCAGTGTGTGTGTGTGTGTGTTGGGTGTTGTGTGTCGGGAGGTAGGGGTGCTGTGCTGTGTGGGAAGGTAGGGGTGCAGAGCGGGGTTGCTGGGTGGGGGTAGGGGTGCTGTGCTGTGGGGGGTAGGGGTGCTGTGTGTGTGTGGGGGAGTAAGGGTGCTGTGTGGGGGAGGTAGGAAAGGGGTGCTGTGTGTGTGGGTAGGGGAACTGTGTGTGTGTGGGGGGGTAAAAGGTGCTGTGTGTGGGGAGGAGGTGGTAAAAAAAATTTTCAAAAAAGTATGCTAAATCCATATACTCCCCCTCCCTCCTTCTTACCTTTGATGAAGGAGGGGGGACACACAGCCATCCCTGGTGGTCTGGTGGTGGTAAGTATTGTAGGGAGCAGCTGCCTTGTCCTCCCGCGTGATGCTGTGTTGAGCATTGCCATGGTAAGGCGCGGCAACCCTCCACACAGATTGCTCGTGGGAGGACAGGGGAGCTGATTCACAGATCCCTCCCCCTGCCTCCCGACACGGAAGCAGAGTAGGCGCCTGCCGTTTTGGGCAGGCAGGTGCCTACTCTGCATTGATGGCGAACCTATGGCCGCGTGCCCATAGAGAGGGCCCGGCGTGCCACCTGTGGCACGTGTGCCATAGGTTCACCATCACTGGCCTATGTAAAGAAAATTACGAGGACTTTACCACACTTCTGAAGAAGTCTTGGATAGGCGAAACGCGTTAAGTGGGACTCCTGCAAGTTATTTTATACTGTTTTTATATGGTAAAGAAATAGTACCTATTAGTACTTACTTCACCATTGGAATATTTTTTCTTGTACTTATTTTTACATATGTCCTGCACATTTCACCTTATTTGAGACATCTGGGACGTCTATACCAACATATATCCTTAGATGGGGATTGTTCCGTCCATGCGCAATACAACTGAGCTCTAAGTTAGCTCTATCAAATGTGAGTGATAACCACATAAGATTACTTTACTACCTATTCATCAGATATACTGTACTGCACGATTATTTTTTTTGCTTTTCTTTTTGTGTACAGCTTTAAAAAGACCTGTGTACGTATAAATTTCTATATATATTGTTTGGGCGCAGTCTCCTCCTACCTTTCTCATATTCTACTATCTACAAGTAGATACAGCGCTACAGAGTCTGACAGCGCTATATAAATAATAAAATAATAATAATAATAATAATACAAGGTTTGGGAATCCTTGTATTGGTTACTGCAGCCCACAGTTACCCTGTTTTAATGCTATAGTGAGTGCCTATTACTTTTCGTTTTCATCTCAATGTATGTTTAAATCCTTCAAGGTAAAACTACAACTATCATTATTTTTTAAACAAAACTAAAACAGATTTTTCAGTAAGGAGAACAATACAGAATACATTAGGCCAACATGTATCAAGTGCACTTAAGTTGTTTTGCACCTGTAGTGTCCATTTAAATGGTCACTCTAAACTATCTAATATCTGCAGTAAAAGTAACACACTGTCTCGTAAAATCGCATATTACAATACATTATTTTACTCTGGATGACAGAAGAACATGTCAATGCTAAGTACTGGTAATATTATTAATACTATATTTACTGATAATATTATGGTTACCTGGAATCAGGGTACTTTGTGAGTGTTGCCAAGCTGCTAGTATACATATGCCCACCAACATCAATGTGAACTGGTGCATTGGACTTGGTAAGTTGTGCAGGAGTGGGAATGCCTTGATTGTTCAAAGGGGAGGCAGGTGATCTGGTGATCAAAGGCCTTGACATATTGGGTCGAGTGTCCTGAAAAAAAAAAAAAAAAGAGATCATCATAAATTTATTGTTCATGAACTATAAGTAATAGAAGAATATGGATAAACTTATTAGATGCACACACAAAAACACATAAAAAGTGCTTTCTCAATAAATTTTTCCCATTCCCTTTGCACTAAAATTAAAATACATCTATCACAATTTCTACATCCTATTACTTAAAGGGGCACTACAGCCACTTATGGTGCCAGGAGGCCCTCTGGCTCATTCTTACTGTAAGGTAGTTAAACAATTCTCGAACAGTTTAACCCCACTAGTGCTGAAGTGAAGAGTACCGCTGGGCAGGGGCGCTACTAATTGGCTGAGAGTGGTCCTCTGACACTCTCAGCCAATCAGTGACTCCACATTCACAAAACACGCTAGAGAAAGGTAAGTTTTTTTTTTGACTGAAGAATTCCACCTTACACGCAAACTTTTCTTATACACTTTATGCCTTACAACTGCCATTACATAATTAATTTCTAGAGGAGTGCGACACGGACTGCAGAATAATAGTGTTCAAACTTCTGTCTTTCAAGGGCTCAATGACCTGTCTCTTAGCCTGACTATTCACAATTAGCAGTGCCCTGGAACACCCTAATGCAAGACCAAATTGTTCTCCATGGCACGATTTACATCTGGATACGAACATTTACATGGCTTTGGATGATGAGCATGTTGTATTTTTAAAGAAGAAATTTTCTGTATACGCCTAGTTATTGCTTTATAAATAGTATGTATTTTGTAACATAATTTTTAAAGTAAGCATTTATTCTATGGGTGTACATCCTAATGCAATGTACTACACACATCTATGTTCCCAAACTGCACAAATTTGCATCTCTCTTCATTATTTATGCAGAAATTACCTAAAATAAAAGTAAGACTTGCATTAAGGCTTTGCAACAGATTTGCAGATATTTCTAGTGGCTGTAACAGTGAAACAAAACAAATGCAAATGATGCAAATTGATTTAATGGATTTTTTCCTCAATTATATAGAAGAAATAAATACATTAAAATAATTTCCTATTGATTTTAAGAACCTACGCAGCATTCACAGCTTCAGGTTATATTCCTGCTGCTTTCTTCATTACACACTTTATAGTTGCAATATGTAGCATTCCCTGCTAATAGAAATACAGCCTATTGAGTGTCAGATAAGAGAGCAAGATAATGCCTTGAAAATGCACTACTCACCTCTTAAGTTTCTTTACCATAATTCATAAGAGGTATCGCATATAATCAAATAAAAACGGTAATGGTAATGCCGAAATCAAGTCCTATAATACAATATCACCAAAGCACTATGGATTTGTAGGTCAATAATTACAGGGGCCGGAAATGGCGTAGTTAAAGGGACACTATAGTCACCTGAACAACTTTAGCTTAATGAAGCAGTTTTGGTGCATAGAACATGCCCCTGCAGCCTCACTGCTCAATCCTCTGCCATTTAGGAGTTAAATCCCTTTGTTTATGAACCCTAGTCACACCTCCCTGCATGTGACTTGCACAGCCTTCCATAAACACTTCCTGTAAAGAGAGCCCTATTTAGGCTTTCTTTATTGCAAGTTCTGTTTAATTAAGATTTTCTTATCCCCTGCTATGTTAATAGCTTGCTAGACCCTGCAAGAGCCTCCTGTATGTGATTAAAGTTCAATTTAGAGATTGAGATACAATTATTTAAGGTAAATTACATCTGTTTGAAAGTGAAACCAGTTTTTTTTCATGCAGGCTCTGTCAATCATAGTCAGGGGAGGTGTGGCTAGGGCTGCATAAACAGAAACAAAGTGATTTAACTCCTAAATGACAGTGAATTGAGCAGTGAAATTGCAGGGGAATGATCTATACACTAAAACTGCTTTATTTAGCTAAAGTAATTTAGGTGACTATAGTGTTCCTTTAAATACCCTTGCAATAAATAAATGTTCCTGCAGTGTCCCTACTTTTACTGCTTTGTCCCTCATTTGGACTTTACAAATATGCCCAATACGTTATTTTTTTAAGCTCCTAAATATCCTGCTAATCTCATAAGACGGAGTGCATACAATAATGCCATTTATTTAAATGCCAGTCTTCCCACACATATTAAATGTCTAAAATGCTTTCAGATTAATAGATTTAAATGAGCCTGGCCTAAAATAAACACTTCACAAAACCTCAATCTGCAGTTTTACGGTTGGCATAGAATTGTAGGGGTTGCAGTCCCTAAACAGCTGGACTGTTCTTACATAACATTAAATCATGGGCTGTAAATGTCTGGATTCAATATAGAATGATCGTTTGCCAAGGATACTTCAACTGGAAAATACATTTCAAATTTAAGAGCCTAGCTCTTATGGAAAGCATAGTGGACTTAGAGAATTTTTCCACTTTGGCTCTTTTGACCTTAAATTTGAAATTCACTTTGAATTCTCACTTTCGTGAATAACCCTGCTTCAATGTCATTGTACAAGAAGTAGAACCAATTAAATGTCACTCGGAACATACAAACATAAACACGTAGATTTTTTTTTTTTTTTTTAAACAAGTAGATTTGTTTAGAGAAACTCTTCATAGTTGTTTACCATTTATGTTAACCCAGCACTGAGCACATATTGGAAATAATGGTCCTCTTGGGGAATGAGGACAAGTGTATATCATTTGCTGTTCTATCATGTCCTGGTGTGCGAGCAGATAATGTAGTTCTTGCAGAACAACAGGCATTAAATGATATAATGAGTGGGTCTTAGCGATACTCCCCTGTCTGTGTGTTATATAGATAAGAAATAAATCCAGCGTAAAAGGCAAATACTGCCGCCTCTAGGAAAGCTCTTCTCAGAATGCAAGAGCTACAATTGTCACACAGCTTGATTTGCAGCTTTTCAGGTTTGGCACAAACCAGCAGGTATCATCTCAATAGGACTTACTTACAAATTACACCTGCACATTGATAGCCTGTGAGGAAAGCACATAGCTTATGTGTGCGAAATGTAGGAACATTTAACGTACACATACAGCATTACAAAGCTTTAACTTAGCTGGGGCAACATTAAAACAAATTGGGTGAAAAGAATGGGAAATGTAGATGTGTCCCGAAACTAAGCTGGGGGAAATGAGATTGAGGACCTTCGGCCAGTATGCTACATTACACCTGTAAACGAGAATCCTGCTTCAGATAATTTGTACCATAGGAGTCACCTACCAACTTTAAACATTAGACTTAACCAACCACGGTGTTATTTAATTCTCCAAAAGGACCTGTTAAGTCTGCAGCAACTATTCTTAATGTACATTCTTTTTTTTTTTTTTTAAAGAGACAGTAATGTTTAAATTTAAAGGAACACTATAGTCACCAGAACAACTACAACTTAATGTAGTTGGTTTGGTAGCTATTGTCTGTCAGTGTAGTTTTTGCTTCAAACACTGCCTTTTCAGAGAACAGGCAGTGTTCATATTACTGCCTAGGCACATCTCCAGTGGCAGTCACTCAGACGGCCAATAGAGGTGCTTGCTGTGTCGGTGCTGCACAACGACAAACTTAACTTTCCCCATAGAGATACATTGAGTCAATGCATCTCTACAAAAAAGTTCTGATTGGCACAGTGTGGACGCTTTGTTGCATGTGCATTAGCCTCCCAATGCTTTCCTATGGGAAAGCACTGGATTAGCGGAGATCATCAGTTTTGATTATCTCAGCCAAGGGGGCTGGGTGTGGACAGAGCCAGCACTGGCAGACCTGTGCAGCGCTTGAATAAAGGTAAGGGGATTCAACACGAGAGGATCAGGAATACGTGATTTTATTCCTGACCCTAAAGTGTTCCTTTAAAGAGGAGTTTTGTGATGGTTGGTGCTGGATGCTCTCTTCATGTCCATTAACTTCCATGTCTATTCATATCAGAACTAGCTTACCAACTCTTTGGTTTAAGAGCAAGGAATTATTATTATTACTGGCTCTCTGATTGACAGGGACAATAAACACAAAGCTTTGCTTTAAAGCTCTGTTTTATAAAATAATTGGAAGTAAAGAATGCATGACTACACCTTGGCAACATAACCACTTTAACCCCTTAATGACGAATGACGGACGAGTTCCGTCACTCAGGGGAAACCCTTAACGACGAGTGATGGACCTTGTCCGTCACACGGTAAAATTAACCCCAGATCTCCGTGATCGCGGGGTTAATGGTGCTCCAGTCTGCCTCTGTATTAGAGGCAGACCGGGAGCAGCCGATAGTGCTGCCCCAGCACATGTGCTCGCTCTGACAGCATGTCAGAGTGAGCACATGTGCTTAGTATACTTACCTTCCACCTCCCTGCACTTCCTGGTTCTGTGTGAAGTGCAGGGAGACGGATCAGTGAACAAAATAAAAAAATAAAGTTAATTTAAAATCCCACCTCCCTTTACCCATTTTAATAAAAAATTAACCCCTTCCCTGCCAATTGATCACTGACTACAGTGATCAATTGGCCGATATTAAATTTTACTATGATCTGATTTTTTTTTTTTTTAAACTAACTTCCACCCAACCCAGCTAGCTAAATTTATAATTTTAAAATACTTTAATTAATAAAATAAATTTAACCCCTGAGGGTTGAAAAAAAAAAAAGAATTAACCCTCAGGGGTTAAATTTATTTTAATTAATTTAAGTATTTTAAAATTATAAATTTAGCTAGCTGGGTTGGGTGGAAGTTAGTGGGGAATTGGGGGGATTTGGTGTTAGGCTAACTAGGGGTTAACGTTAAAAAAAAGTTTTAAAATAAGCTTTAAAAAGTTCAAAATTAAGTTAAAAAAGTTTTAATAACGTTTAATTAAAAAATAAAAAAAACACCCTCCTTTAGCCAGTCCAAATAAAAATTAACCCCTTCCCTGCCAGTCAATCACTGCCTACAGTGGTCAAAATACAGATCACAGTACTATACTGTGATCTAATTTTTTTTAACCCCTGATGATTAACTTTTATTTTATTTTTTTTAACCCTCAGGAGTTCAATTTATTTTATTAACTGATTTAAATATTTTATAATTATATATTTTGCTAGCTGGGGTGGATGGGAGTTATGGGAAAATGGGGAATTTACTGTTAGTGCTGCTTACTGCTAGTTAGGGGTTAAAGGTAAAAAAAAAAGCTTAGAAAAATTTTAAATCTGTAAAAAAAAGTTTTAAGAAAGTTTAGGAAAGTTTAAAAAATGAATAAGCAAAACAAAAGTTTAAAAACTAGTTTTTAAAAGTAAAAAAAGTTTCAAAAAGTAAAAAAATACATTTAAAAACGCTCATTACCACTACACCTGGAACAAACTAGAGAAAAAATGATCCCACGCAAGGTTCAAAATATGCCTTTTGAATTACCCCAGGGTGTATTCTTTAATAAATAGTATGTGTTTGTGGGGAAGTTTCAATAACCAACCATCTAAACTACTCCAAATTGGAACATGGACACAGCGTAAAACTTCAAAGTTAGAAAAAAACTGAATGGCTGCGTCTCAAATGTGCCCCTTCAACATCCACATGTACCTGGCAATGGTACATACGGGGGTATTGCTGTACTCAGACCACATAGCTGAGCAACATATTAAATATTATACAGTTGTAGCACACATAAGGTTTGCAAAATATACTGTGCAAACTCACTCTGTGTGTCAAAAAGGCAGAAAAAAACGCTTATTACCACTACACTTGGTACAAGCTAGCGGAAAAATGATCCCACGCTAAGGTTCAAAATATGCCTTTTGAAATACCCTGGGATGTCTTCTTTAAGAAATGGTATGGCTTTATGGGGTATTTGGATTATATAGCCTGGTAAAATACTCTAAAATGGGACATGGGCACAGCGTAAAAATGTAAAGTTTGGAAAAAACTGGAATGGCTGTGTCCCAAATGTGCCCCTCAGATGTCCACATATACCTGGCAAAGGTACATTCGGGGGTATTTCTGTACTCAGCCGACATAGCTGAGCAACATAAGAAGTATTATACAGTGGTAGCACACATAAGGTTTGCAAAATATACTGTGCAAACTCACTTTGTGTGTCAAAAAGGCAGAAAAAATGCTTATTACCACTACACCTGGTTTAAGCTAGTGGAAAAATTATCCCATGCTAAGGTTCAAAATATACCTTTTGAAATCCCCTGGGGTGTCTACTTTAAGAAATGGTAGGCCTTTGTGGGGTAGTTTGAATTTAAAACCTGCGAAGATGCTTGGAAATTGCACATAGGCCCAGCGTCAAAATTCAAAGTTCGGTAAAAACTGATATTGCTTGGTCTCCTATATGGCACTGTAGCTTCACGAAATAGTGACTAAGACATTCATTGGGGGTGTCGTTTTACTCAGAAGGTTTAGCTGAGCATAATTTGGGGGGTTTGAACTTAGTGGCACATATGAAATATACAAAATGCCCAGCAAAAATGCAATCCATATGTAAAAAATGCACAAAATAATTTTTTACCACATCCTTTGGCATATATTGGTGAAAAAATGGGGGCATGTTAAGGCACAATATGCACCTTATGAGATACCCTGGAGTGTCTACTTTTACAAATGGTAGACCTTTGTGGGGTTTTTTGAACAGTCAAACTACTATAATACTCCAAATGGAAGCATAGGCTCATTAAATCCGTCCCTCAAAATTCTACTGTGAATACTGAAAAGGACAGGTATCCTATATGGCACTGTAACTTCACGAAATAGTGCCAAAGACATACAATGGGGGTGTCATTTTACTCAGCAGATGTAACTGAACACAAAATAAAACTTTGTACAGGAATAGCACACACCAACTTTACAAAATACACATGAGAATATCTTTGTTATAAGTTTGTGTGCCAAAAACCCCAAAAAACACAATTTTACTCCAATATTTAGCAGAGGTTGGCGGTGAAATGGCTACGTAGAAAGTGTCAAACCAACCCTAGGTAAATAGCCTGTGATGTCTACTTTATATAAATATATAGTTTTGTGTGGCAATTTTGTTTTCTTTTATGTAAAGCTTTCAAGACAAACATACCAAATTCTAAAATTGCTCCACATTAAAAGTTTATTTTACTCCTTGTGCTTTGTGACCTGTAACTACCAAAAAAAAAAACTTAAAATCCCAGACACATTATATACTCTGTAAATCAGAACAACTAAATGAATTTATTTTTAATTACTTTCCTTAACCTGCACTAATTGTGCACACATTTTTATTGCAAAAAACTGTAAAAAAATCCACAAATTTTTTCTTTTGCATTTTTCTGTTTTTTTTTTAATAATAAATAGGCATTATATATATATATATATATATATGTGTTACATCAAATGAAAGCCCTTTCTGTCCTTTAAAAAACAATATATAATATGTCGGTGCAATAAATTCGTAAAATGCAAATTGCAGTTGAACGCAAACAGCAAAAAATGAAATAAATGCTGTTCTCATTAAGTGAAAGGCAAGCTTTTGAAGCTCTGTCCTTAAGGGGTTAAAAATAGAAGTGGTTACATGGTCTAGAGTGTCCCCTTAATTTCAAACCACACTTGAAGCTTCTGGTATTATTATTATATTTTTTTTTAATTAGCGGTTTATAAGAATTGTAAGAAGTGCATGGAATATTCCAAAACATTCTTTCAAACATAACTTCTGACTAGCTCAACATTATAACTATCTTATCGCAGTTTAAAGCAGCTACAATGCCAAAAGGTAGCAAACACTTAACGAACAGGGTTATTCACTAAAGTCCAAATTTTTGTGAATTAAATGAGAATGGAAAAACTGAGGCAAAAACAGCTGATCTGGAAAAATTATCCATCTCAACAATAGTCAGAACTTGGCTATTTTCCTCTCAGAGTTTAGTGAGATCTCCCCAGACAGATACCTGTGTTGTGGAGGTGTCATAAACCAAAACCCCATAACAGTTTGTCATAAATCTATATGACATATAAAGCTGTGGAAAATAAAGGTGTGTGAATATAATCCATGAGGAGTTAAAAGTCTGAGAATAAGCACTCATATCGGTCACTAATTTAACTTAGCACTGCGATCACTTTTTATCTGTGGTGACTAGGGACTAACTACTTATCATCTTTGAAATGTATCGTGAACATTATTGGAACTGCTGGAAAAATAACCAAAATCAATAAATGATTACAGCTGGGCATTTTCTCCTATTCATAAATCCTCTATAACTTCCATAAATGTATTGGCAAAAGCCTCTGGCACCAAGCCCTAAAATCAATACAATCCATTAGATATCTACCTTTTACTGGCTCACAGTTCAATTGCCCAGCAAAGAATTATTATCAAAAGAAGATTCATTCTTTTCTATAGCTTTATCACACTTGTCAGGGAAGTTTTTATTTAGAATTTATAGTCTAAAAGATCTGCCTCTCAAGAAAATATATGAAGTATAAGCCACTGGTATCACTTTAGCAATTACATTAAATTGGCATAAAACATCCAAAGACTGAAGGTGGCTACCATGTTTAGACAAGGACACCAATGTGGGATTTGATCTCGGGTATTTTAATATTTTAACCCCTTGATGACCAATGACAGTCTATTCCGTTAGAAAAATGTATTCTATTCTGAAATCGGATGATTTAATTTAAAGAACTTTCAATGCTGGTATACGGCCTCAAACGACCAGGTTTTGGCATTGGTCCTTAAAGGGTTACAACGCAAAGCTTAAAGATGCTCAAGGATAGGCAACAGGCATTTTTTTTATTTTTTATTATTGTACGAGGTACAGAGGTTGAGACAGTGAAATCATGTTGATTCAGAGAGCTTGATGACATCAATGAGGTTTTTCTTACACAGCTTCACAGAAGTGACATCAGCAGGAAAGGTCTTATTTTACGGGTAATCATTAAAACTAAGTATCTAGCAGCAATTAATCTACATACCGCAGTGCACAGAGTGATGCATTGTAGATATCCATTCACCCTAATCATCCTCTTGAGGAACAAGGACAAGTGTATATCACTCTTTGTTCTATTTTGTCCTGTGGTGTGAGCAGATGATGAAATGCTTGCAGAACAACAGGCATTATTTGATATAATGAGAGGATGTTTGAAATCCCTCCTATTCCGAGTCTCACACAGGTAAGGAATAAAGCCAACAGTAATTTCATATATCCCAAGAATACATCTTTAGTCTTACCAGGTAAGTTGATACATTCTCAGAAATAAAATCCACTAAAAACAGGGCAATCTCCAAATGACAAATTAAGTATTTTACCTGGTCTGAGTAGCTACTGAAGTAAATACACAAAATTGTACAAATTTTTATTTGTTACAGGGGAGGTATGACAGAACCACGGTCTAACAATATAAGCATAAAATTTCCTTTTTGTGTACTATCAAATACCTAAATAATTATTTATTATGTGTCTTATTTATATGGTGCCTAAATTAATCTGTCATGCACACTATATTCTAGATCAGGGCTTCCCAAAGTGTGTGTCGCGACCCATGCCTCCAGGGCCGCCAAGGACTCGGGAGACAGGCATGCAGACTTATTAGTCAGGCCCTCGGTCCGTGGCCACGGGCCCGACACCATACAGGGCAAGCCGTCAGGCCCCTCCATCAGTCTGCCCGAGAGAGAGCCCACAACCTGCGGTCTTGCAGCTCCGCTGGGTGCAGTGCTGCAGACCGTGTGATAGAGGCCATGGCAACACTCTGGGAGCTCGCGAGACGTCTATAACACGGTCTGCAGCTCTACACCCGGTCAGTGCAGCTCACTGGCCAATTTTCACTTGTTTGGTTCATTTACATAATTTTTTCAAAAATGGTTGTATGGGCGAAATTCATTCAAACAGAGAACGCCACGCAGACGAATCCTGAGTTGACTCACATTTTTTTTTTACTTAAGAAAAACAAAAATGTATTTGCTGTGCACAAGTCTTATTGCAATAACACATTTTATATTAAAAATATTAGATTTTACTGCACTTACGGTATTGAGGATTATGTTCAAATGCTAACATTTTTACATTGACATTTTGTTTTTATTTTATTTCAGACCCTGTGTGAAACATTGCAACATAAGGGATATTGGATACCGATTAAAGTCTTACATTTCTTCAATACTTCTATAAAGGATGAATTAATGAAAATTAACAAGAAATAAATGAAAAACAAAAATTTAAATTTTCATGTTTTTCTGAACACCAATCTATATATGATGTGGCTGTTTTGTGTTTATATGTTAAATATGTAACCCATGTTTCCAATAAATGTTATACTAATTTGCAAACAAAAAAGTGCTAACTGGTGAAAAGGTTAATAATGAAGTGTCATTAAAGCATACCACATTTCTGATTGTATCAGGAAGTCAGTAAAACCAACCAACCAAGAGGAAATATTCAGGTGTGGCATCTGATTTTATCAGCAACATATACATAATTGGAAAACACATTACAATTTGTTAGTGTCACTAAGCAACCCCAGGTGATTGAAAGAAAGTGCCATTTCACACAGTTGTGTATTCCCATCTTTTATTCTTAAAAATAATTAAAATATCTGTAAGTATGGTCATTAAATTGAGCAAAAAAATAAATAAATGAAAGAGCTTGAACTCCAGACCCAGTGGAACAAGCAACGTTTCACCCAGTTCAGCTACTATTCCAATCTATTAAACCGATAGCAGTTATACAGCAGCTGATGTCTGCTTACTTATCAGTTCCACTCATCATTCCTGCTGAGTAGAACTGTGGCTGAAGGATAAACTACATATCCCACAAACTTCTGCTGGCATTGCAAGTGCCGACAACTTCCATTGTGTTGTAATAAATGCCAAAAATAGATAATTCAGCAGGTATCAATGCTGAAATCAAAATGGTTACTATGTTTTATATTAGAGCACATTGCCAATAACTGGATCATGAATTAATTCCCTGTTAGTGACGAATCATCTATCTTAGATTCTCACACTTGTATCTGATTTTTGTTTGTTTTTTGTCTCACAGTAAGTTCCCTAATACGATTCAACCCTACCTTAGACCTGTAAGGCACAGTACAGAAAGCAAATAATCTGTACATTCCTATTGCTACATCAAATTCATTTATTGGCACTTCAGAAGTACAACCCCACCAAAATATTTACTTTCCAAACCACAGGCATAAACTCCTATTATTATACTAACACTAACCTCATCAACCCACTAATTACCTGAAACCTTTCTCCATTCGTCTCAATCTACTTGTAATCCCTAACACATGACCTGTCCATCTCGCAAGGCAGTTTTAACATTAATTTCCCATAAAAGAAACCTTAAGAAAACATGATAAGAAAGAATGGGAAGGAGGATTGTGTGTGGCACTCAATAGTAGTACTTTGTGATGGGCTATTGGCGATGTGCATGGTAGGGATAGGCATATATGTAAGTCAAACTTTAAAATGATTCCAAATGACCAGCGGGATAGGCCACAGGAAGCTGAAAAGGTAGTTCGGTTACGATTAAAAAGAAAGATGAACCCATGAGCAGAGAATCTCAGATTGTGAAATGACATGGACAATGGCTTCTCCACATACAAAGCTTCCATGTTTTTATTTTCAAATGAGGGATGTCACATCCAGAATGTGACTGCACATAACTCTGCCAGGGAACAAGCTGATAATTCTACTTTAGCTGCCAATTTTGAGAGAATTAAAGAGTCCATGGGTTTTGAGAGTTAGGAGCTTATGGGTCAAAGGAATCTAACAAAGAAATTGGCCATCTTTTCACAGAAAGAAATCGGCTTGAGCAAACCCACATGCAATGGCGATAGGTACCCCTGCCCCACCACCACATTATTCTGAACACACATATCTTAAAATATTTTAATAAATGTATGATTAATATAATCTACATGTTATTCTGCTAAAGACAAGTTAAAACAGGAAAATAAAATCTAAATTGACTGTTGCCAAGCTAGGCTTTAAGTAGAGGAATATATTCACAACCTCTTCCTTGCATTTGCATACCTAAAGTGTTTATTTTTGGAGAAACTGGGGTGGAGAAGGAGACCATCTACATTTTAAAAAAAATTTCAGTTATGGTTACATGAAATCAAAAGAAATGTTAAAATAATTTAACCCTCAATGCCCAAGATAGACAGACAAGTCTAACAGCGCTAATATCAGAGCACGTCTCGACTGAGTCCAAGTTTGAAATGTAATGGGCTTTGGCCTTGTCCATGGAAGGACAATAGTAATCAACTCATATGTGCTGAACTGTACTTATTTGCATTGTAGTTTCTGTGTAAACTCACTTTGGAAAAGAGATGCATTCTAGAGTGGAAAGTCTGATAAGTGGTACATAAATTTAGTATTTACATTTACAAATTCAGATGACACATTACAACATGAAGTCATATGAAACCAGTCAGTCTACACATACCCTGCAGACATACATCAATCACAATTTAGCATGCATAAAATCCTCAATTTTTTGTCTGTAGTAATTTTACACATCTAGTGCAGCTAAAAAAACATCTTGTAATAGATGTGAGTTTGGAATGTGGGAGTGACAGAGATTCTTAGAATATTTTAAATTATTTTGAGCGCTTACATAATTATAAGGAGTGCATTGTCATTCAAAAATTAGAAAATCTTCTAAATGATACGTGGGTCTGTACATTTAATAGCGGACACAGATGTCAAAACCTATAAGCTAACATAATACTTTTAAGATGTATTGGCTTTTGTATATTTTTACTTTTTTTTTTCCATGCAGCAACTTTATCAGAAATCTTTGAAAAAGTTTCTGGTAACATTTAAAGAGTTACTTCAAGCTCCATAACCACATCAGTTTTTTTAAGTGGTCATGGTGGAACGACACTGTATGTGCAATATTTTAGTATGAGTGTTTCAGGCTGGCTAATTTTAATTCTGTGCATAGTTTATGGACAAACTAACTCACAGGGTTAGTGTGCGAAGATAATGCTCTCAGCATAGAATGACAGTATCAGCATTCGGCATCTGCAGAATCCGGATCTAACAAAGCTGCCATTCTGTTCTCACTGGAGAGCAGAACCTGGCATATTACATTGTTGTAGAGAATTTTGTACGTTTATGGTAACCCTCTCCAACTCACCCCTAAATTCATGAGCTATTAAAGGACCACTCTAGGCACCCAGACCACTTCAGCTTAATGAAGTGGTCTGGGTGCCAGGTCCCTCTAGGATTAACCCCTTTTATATATATATATATATATATAAATATAAACATAAACATAGCAGTTTCAGAGAAACTGCTGTGTTTATAATAGGGTTAATCCAGCCTCCAAATCTCCAAATCCTCTAGTGGCTGTCTCATTGACAGCCGCTAGAGACGCTTGCGTGATTCTCACTGTGAAAACCACAGTGAGAACACGCAAGCGTCCATAGGAAAGCATTGTAAATGCTTTCCTATGAGACCGGCTGAATGCGCGCGCAGCTCTTGCCGCGCGTGCGCATTGAGCCGAAAGGGAGGAGAGGAGGAGAGCTCCCCGCCCGGCGCTGGAAAAAAAGGTAAGATTTAACCCTTTCCTCTCCCCAGAGCCGGGCGGGAGGGGGACCCTGAGGGTGGGGGCACCCTCAGGGCACTATAGTGGTCCTTTAAGCCACCCATAAACAGGCATGTCAAGTTTTTATGATGCAAGGGCTGAATATGTGTCTTACATGGGCAGGCTTACACCAAATCAAATTTCCGCAATAGGTGTTTTCCATAATTGACAAGCCAGGTAATTTCTGCTAATGTACTTCAGATTTCATTAGTGGACCACTTGCCTCCAAAGAACACCATGGAAGTAATAAGTAAAATAATTTATAACAATATCACACTATAGGTATTGGCATTTGGAGTTATTTACTCAACTAAGAACTGGAGAACTGAAAATTAACTTTTTTTTTTTTTAGACAAATGCACATACATAGTAACTTTATTAAGTAAGCACCCATGTGACACTGAAAAATGTTGCTGATGTGTTTAAAGCACATTATCGTGTTTAAAAAATAAATAAATCACTGTTTCAAAATAAGATGTGAATGTGGAACAATTAAGTTTATAGAAAAAATAATACAGTAGAGTGGGTCTAGTTTCAGTAGAGTGGGTCTGAGCAGTGATAATTAAAATAAAGGCTTTGGTAGAACAGAAAATGTTGCTACAGCATGTAAAACTTTATTCTTCTTGACAGTATGTTTTTAGGGTAATAAAAAAAAATTAAGATCTAAAAATAAAGATTTAATATCTATTTAACAGTAGATTAGCATTGGGCTCATGTCATTTTTTTGTACATCACTACAGTCTACGCTTGGACAGCTTTGGACAAATTATGTGGAAGTGAAACCCCTAAATCCTCTTAGTAGCTGAAGACAGAATGGCCTTTTTTGTACCAGAAGAGGCTGTTTGTCAAATAATTGGAAAATGGTCTGACAAAAGAAACAAATATACGAAATTCTCGCAACACTGCTCCTCAATAAAAGCTTTATCTTGTTGGAATAAAATATTACGAAGCATTAATCGCTACTATTGTATTAACAAATTTAGGAAAACTGTCACTTCCTAAAATTTTTAATATTATCTTCACTTATACCAATATTTAACAAATATGTATTTGTTATGTGCAAAAAATTAACTTACATGTAAAAATCCTCACAGTTTTATCCTGTAAATGGTCACCTCCATCTTAGCTCCCTGTCAATCATTGTTATACGCTTTGTCCTTTGCAATTGGCAGTAGGGGTAGCTTTGTCCTTTGCATCTGGCAGTAGGGGTAGCTTTGTCCTTTGCAATTGGCAGTAGGGGTAGCTTTGTCCTTTGCATCTGGCAGTAGTGGTAGCTTTGTCCTTTGCAATTGGCAGTAGGGGTAGCTTTGTCCTTTGCATCTGGCAGTAGGGGTAGCTTTGTCCTTTGCAATTGGCAGTAGGGGTAGAGAGCATGCAGTGTTTCTATTTCTAATCTTTGTTTGCAGTTTGTGCTCTGGCTTTGCCTTGTCTGAATTGGACTGCAATGTATATTGCTAACTCTTCAATATAAATGTAAAAGATAATGGAGCGTACCCTAAGAAAAAGGCTAAGACAAATTATAGGGGATTTTCAATGTTTTATTAAATTGTATAAATTCCAGAGAACTGACAGTTACACCTTATATGGACACCTGAGTGTTAGGAATACAAAGAAGTATTCCTGACACTAGAAGTGTTCCTCTGACCACCCCTCTCCCACTTTTTCAAGTAACTTACTTTACTCCAGAACTGATGCCTTTGGAGTTGGGTTGCTCTCCTCCTCCACCAACTAACGGAGGGGCCTAATGCGCATGGGTATTTTAAAAGTTGCTAGCTGTCCTCATGCAAAGCATCTGGTAGACAGCCACTAGGGGCAGTCTTAACCCTGCAATATAAACATTCCAGTTTATCTGAATTTTTCACTTCAATGAGATGAACTTGTCTGGGTGCCTATACTGTCCCATAACTTAGAATAAAATAGTAATTATTTCTATCCCATCCAAAGGATTTCTGTTTTATTCTTTTTTTTTTTATTTAATCTTTATTAAACATTTTCAAATTTCTTGTTTTTTTTTTCGTGTCTAAAGTGAGGCTCTCTCTTTTCAAAGGGAACACTTACCTTGTTTAAGTGTTTATACGGGAGTTCTAAAGTAACGGAGCAGTCTTAAATAATATAAATTACTATGGCAAATCATTTGCTATAATCATTTGATTTATATGAGTGTTGTGTGAGGTAGGTTGTCTTAGGGTGTAGAGCCTCATTTGGAGCCTCTAGCCCCATAGTACACCTACCAGTGACATTGTGAAATTCACTCTGAGAGGGGTCTTCTCACATTTCAAAATAGGGTTATGTCCTTCCCTGGTTTATATGGGTGTTAGAGGTTCTAAATTAACTCCCAACCCTTCTAAGATGTCTGCCTGGTATTTGGGTATCACCATAATCAAGGTGATTAAATGAGTTAGAACCCCTTAGGTTAAACAAAGGAAAGATAAGGGCTCCATAAGTGTTAAGGGAGTGGGATGTAGGACCCAGGAGACTGCAGGGCCAGAGGAGGATGCAGAAGGCTGTGATCCTACTGAGAATAGGCAGGTTGGAGTGTTGTCGCGCGTTACCATGGCAACATTCCCACACAGCGCTGTGCTCACAGGAGGAAAATAGTGAGGCCAGCCTGCAGCCAGAGGAGCTGAGGGCTGAAGTGCATGCGCCACCACCAGAACTGCAGTTATGTGCCCTCCTTCCAGGCCAGAGGTAAGAATGGGGGCATAAAGCTTCCCCCCCCTTTCAAGTAAATTGTATACATTTTCTCCCTGATCACCCCCCGTACCAAAATTAAGACACTTCACACATCCCGTGCACCCCCCCCCCTCACACACACACACACCATTATTTTTTATTTCTGGCTGACATTGGTCCGCAAAATATTTCTCCTATTTTCGTCGGGCCGCGGCTGTTAAAAGCTTGCAGAACACTGGACTAGAGACACCTGAATGTCTGAAGTCCATCTAGAATGTGCAGGAAAAGGGCTTCTACTATTAACTAATGCAATGACAAAGTGCCACTGCCTGTTAGCATTTCCTAATTGTGTGAGAGGTCACCATGTACAACAGGTCATGTCACATGGCAAAGGAAGTAATCTTAAGAAATATAAAAAGGTAAAATGAAAAGGGATATTTGTAACATTGGAACAAAGTTAACAACGCTGTCCTCTGCCTTTTTTTTTAAAAGGGCTAAAAAACAAACAAAAAAAACTACTATGTTAGCGGAACACTATAGTGTCAGGAATACAAGTGTATTCGTTTAGCTGCCAATTTCGTGACACTACAGGCCTAAATTGCTGCTTAGGTTACAAGCCCCGCCCCCTCCCCCCTATTACCTCTGGTTAAAAAGGTGACTTACTCCCCGCCCACCTTCACTGAGATCATCAAACTTGAAAATAGAAAAGCATTGAGAAGCTATTGCGCATGGGCATCAAAAAGCTGCTTTATCAGCCTCTCCTTTTAGAGATACTTTGACCTAATGCATCTTTATGGGAAAAGTTCAGAGCCTCCATCCAGAGGGTAGAGATGCAGAACGTCAGGCTATAGACACCAAAACATGTACACTAAGCTGTAGTTATTATGGTGAATATAGTGTCACTTTAAGACAGAGTATTTTTTTTTTTTTCTTGGATGTAAAAACCCAAGGGCAGAGTACAGAATATTTGATAGCGTCCTAACCTCAACATATGAGGAAAGGGATTTAGGGGTGATTATTTCTGATGACTTAAAGGTAGGCAGACAATGTAATAGAGCAGCAGGAAATGCTAGCAGAATGCTTGGTTGTATAGGGAGAGGTATTAGCAGTAGAAAGAGGGAAGTGCTCATGCCATTGTACAGAACACTGGTGAGACCTCACTTGGAGTATTGTACACAGTACTGGAGACCGTATCTTCAGAAGGATATTGATACCTTAGAGAGGGTTCAGAGAAGGGCTACTAAACTGGTTCATGGATTGCGGGATAAAACTTACCAGGAAAGGTTAAAGGATCTTAACATGTATAGCTTGGAGGAAAGACGAGACAGGGGGGATATGATAGAAACATTTAAATATATAAAGGGAATCAACACAGTAAAGGAGGAGACTATATTTAAAAGAAGAAAAACTACCACAACAAGAGGACATAGTCTTAAATTAGAGGGACAAAGGTTTAAAAATAATATCAGGAAGTATTACTTTACTGAGAGGGTAGTGGATGCATGGAATAGCCTTCCAGCTGAAGTGGTAGAGGTTAACACAGTAAAGGAGTTTAAGCATGCGTGGGATAGGCATAAGGCTATCCTAACTATAAAATAAGGCTAGGGACTAATGAAAGTATTTCGAAAATTGGGCAGACTAGATGGGCCGAATGGTTCTAATCTGCCGTCACATTCTATGTTTCTATATTTGGCTCTTTCAGATCCCAATAATAAGGAACTCTCCAAGTACCATCACCACTACAGCGCATTGTAATTGTTGTTATTGTGTCAGGAGTTCCCAATTATTAGTTATTAAGCCATTTGCTAAAAGTGTGACCACTTACCTTGGTCTACATTATTAAATGGTTTAGTTTTCAAAGTAGTGACAGTTCCACTTTAAAAGCTACCATTGTTTAGGTAGGAACTATAATCAGCATTCATTGAACCAGAATATTTAAATTTTTTTACACTGAAATGTTTATTTTTAGGAATAACAATCCTTTTAAACATTTGTGAAAACACCTTGCACAGACTCAATTCGGACCACAATCTGCATATACACAGATCATGAACTGAATACTGATGTTTACTAAAGCAAATTCACAAACAGAAAAATGTCCAAAAAATAAATCAAAATAATAAAACACAAAGAAAATTAATTATACTAGTCTTTAAAATCAGTAAAGCCTGCGTACACTAGTAAAAGGCAAAAAATTACCTTTATAAAAAGTATTGCAAATCAGTCAATGTTGTGATATACAATGGGTCTTATTCACTGAAAATGGAATTGATAATGTAATTGGAGACCATAAGTTAAAAACAGCCAAGATGAAAATAGAAAATGTTGGTAAAAAAAATATGGATCAAAATGAAATCTCCAAATCGTTTTTATTTCTCTGATCAATGCTCCACAACTCAGTTAAGTGAATAAATCCCAATTTGTAAAAGTAAAAAAAGAAACAGCAAACAGCACTACCATTTTCCCTTCATCAGAATCCAAATTTCTTCATAAAGCCATCATGAACACAATAAATTCAGTGTATATTCATCATCACTCTGTGTTCTTTAAGTTATATTTTAATATTTGAAAATTGCCAACAGTTCTATAACTAGATTTTCAGCTCACATTCAGTCAACATTGGCCAATAATTTGCTTTAGTTTCTTCAGGCTTAAAAGGTGCCGGAGGGAAGAAATTTGACGTCAGAAAGAAAGGAGGGGAATAAAAGAAAAAGAAGAAAAAAAAAAAAAAACAACTACAGTCAGTCACTGACCTCCGATGTCAAATGAGGTGAAACAGAAAACCTCAGTGAACTGTCACATGTCTGCTGTTGCACCAATACAAGACATCTAATTAACATAGACAAGCCCTGCAACTGAATGGAAAACTCCTATATCACATGACCTCCCTTACAGACTGCCAAGCACCTGAGAACACTACCTGACGGGTTTAACCCTTGTCTATCAGAATCTGAATGAACAATAGTGTTTATACAAGGCAATTGTGTTTGTGTGTGTTTCCTTTAATGCACACATTTAGGATAGAGCTAGCACACAATCAAAGTGTGTAATTGAAAAGGATGTTGCAATTTTTCTATCTAGCTGGGAGGTTTGCTGGTCTCAGGCCAGAAACATTAACATCCCCAAACTAGTTATTAGAATGATTCCACTGGTATAATCAGGACCAAGCATGTTCTTAATTTTTAGTTAACCCTGCTCCTGTTTAAAGAAGGCAGTGGTTTTATAAATAAATAAAAAAAGGATTGCCCCACCAGCGCTTTACTGATTACAATTAGCATACACATTAACCTTAGATGACATATTACCAACTCTCCTTTAAATATTAATGGTGTGCTTACAAATAGGGAAAGGGGTAGAAATGGGTTTTGCTAAATTGAGACATGTTGCTTGCTGGCTAAAAGCAGTACATGTAGTAAATGTCTTTTATGCATCTTCAGTGAACCATAAAATGCAATGTTATTACGGAAATCATATACCTAGTAACACATGTTCAGATGACTAAATCAGTCAAGAGTTATGCTACGTAAAGCAGCCCACAGTGATGGGTGTTTTAGTTTAAAGTCAATTGGATTTTAAAGTAATCTATGCATAAGGTTCTTAAAGTGTGGGCAGGATTAAATACTTTAAAAGGTGCCACATCATTTAAAATCTACTCCTTACAACTATCCAATCTATTTTTTAGATGTTGTGCTATACAGGGGTAGACAAACGTCAGTACTCCAGATGCTGTGGCCAGCATTACGGCTGTGAGAACATCATAGGAGATGTATTAGCCTTGACGTGGCAGGAGGGCATACCCTCTCATGGCCATTGGAGCAACTAAATAACCTCCATTTGTTTAAATATGCATAGGGATTGGGAAGAGAGCAGGTAACTTTTCTTTTAATTATGGGAGATGTAGTTTACAACATCCAGAGTACCGAAGGTTGCATACCCTGTGCTATACTTTATGGTAGCCAAATAAAAAAAAGAATCAGTACTCACAAATTCCCAGAGCAGAGATTTATTTAGAACCCCCTAGCAAAGATTCCACCTCTTATTGAGCCGTTATTGGGACTGAATCAGGCTTAGTAAAAACCCTTATTGGTTTTTATTGTTTTGCTGGAGCATACCAAATCAGGGCTCTGGGAGTTATTGATAGTTGGATCTTTTTTCATTTTGCTATATCTGTATCTGGGTTGCTGTTCTGGTCCTGTGTGCACCTCGAGATAATATTCCCTGGCCGTTTGGCGAGTGCCATCTCTTTTTACGGTTAACAGCTAATTGTGTAGAAGGATTATGTGTTTTCCCCATCTACAGCTGCAGATTCAGCTCGTGGAGAGCTTGCTGGAATGCAGTTATAAAATCCACACTGTAATACCCGTCACTATCAAAACTTGTCTGGAACTGACCACTTGTATCCAGAACATCCAGCAGGGTTATTCACTCAGTTCCATATTTGTTTACAAATTAGAAACTGCAATTTGAGTTCTACGTCATTGGCTGAATCACACCGGCGGTCCATTGTTTTAATCTGCTGTACTGTGTAATGTGCGGGATTTCAATCTTTGTATCACACCTCTTCAGCAATGTGATTGGCCTGGGCAACCCAGACATTCATACAGACATACAATTATTTTTTTGCTACTGCAATGCTATCTCAGCCATTGAGCTTTGTAAGATAAAGCCTGTAAATGATATTAAATCATGTCTAGCCTTAATAAAACAAATGCTATTAGCTTTTTCTCTGATCAACAAAGGGGCATATCGCATCCAAAATAGACAACATCAACACATACTATAAATCGTGGGAAAACAAAGGGAAGTCCATAATTTGCTAAAAATACACCAAAAGAGGGGCTACAAAAACCAGGTATTTATTATTCTAGGGACCAGCTTGATCCAACAGTGTCCCTTTAAGAAGTGAAGACATGAAAGGTTTGCCATATTAGTAATTCACTTGCCTATAAGCTTTAATGGTGCTATCTCAATCTTAACAGTGACCATTATTCTTTTTTTGGTATAAAAAAAAATAAAAATAAATTTAAAAAAAAAGAAGGTGGCAACTCTTTGATTAATCCATTTTCTAAACTGAGTAGATACCAACCAATGTACAAGTGTAAGACAGGATAACATTTTATTTTCCCGCTTGGCTGTACTGACCTATTTTTTGCAAATTTCCAGTCAGCTCTATTGTTTAGTAAAGACTTGATAGGTTACATAGGGTAAAAAGCTATTGTAGTTACTGCCCAAACAAGAATACAAATGTAGTATCTTGAATTACTAAAACAGAAACCTCATGAGGTAACACATACGAAATCAAATAAACCACATGAAATATACAGGAAAACCAAAAGGAAAACAGCTCAAACAAACAAGCAAACAAAACTTTAATGATAGTAGAGGGGACAAAAATCATTCGGTGAAACATACAAGGTAGAGAAAAAAAAATTATTGCAGACGTTTTACTGGTCACTTTTATGAAATAGAAATTCCCAATCTGTGCTAACCTACAATTTATAATACGTACCTTTTTGTTGTTTTTATGAACAGGGAGCTACTGAGCGGCTTAAAGTGTCAGCTGACTGTTCTAAGCCAATCAGCAGCATAATTTTTTTTAGGAGAATTTCTGAAAACGGATGTCGACAGGACAGGGAGAAATGGCGCTGCAGGGTAGACTTTGGGGTTAAAATTTTGTGTGAATGATTTAACTCCTAAAAGGTAAAGAAATGCCAGGGACCTCCTGGCACCATAACAACTTCAACTTAAACCAGTTGTTATGGTGCCTGGAGTGTTCCTTTAAGAGGCAATTACATAATGCTGTAAGAGATATGATGCCAGGTGCACCCAATGTAAAGTAGTCAAACCGTTTGGAAGTAATTCGACTTATCTAAGGTCTACCGGGCACCACTACTCCAACAAGTTAGGCCCTGCAGACCCTAGGTAATCGTTACTACAGTAGTGGTTATTGTGCTTAGAATGTTCCTTTAGCGAAGACTTAAAAAATGTATAAGAACCATGAATCACCATGTCAATGCATCAGTGAGAAAAGCACTGCCCTGTACATTATAATATTTGGAGTGGACTATTAATAATTAGGAAAGAATAAGTATCAGCAGACGACGTGAAAACAAACTTTTGGTCCTGTTTTAAGGGCAGTTCATAACCATTTACTTTGGCGCTATAATAGTTGCGCAGTGTTTGTAAGTCATTTTAATATAAGAGCCGACCACAAATTCTATTTGCACATAATCCTCTAGAACAAAGCATCTTAGTTGGAAAGATGCCACACAATATGATACCTCCTTTACCCCAAGAAACACGTCAGCCATAAACTACTGACCTGTAAAAATGCACTGATAAGAATGTTAAGTAGAAATGGCATATATCCATACTTTTCTCTGCCAAAGATTAAACATATATTACACCTATATCTGAGGCTGTGCAGACTTCAAGAGGACATTCCTGCTTCCAAAATACAAAGAAATAAAGGGGACTACAGAATACGTAAAAAAAATAAAAAAATTAAAAAAAAAGTTCACACAAGAAAAACAAATGTTCATAATGTTTTTCACGAACCATCCAATTTAAAGGAACACTCCAGATGTATAGAGCACCTCAGCTTGCTTATGCATTTTAATTAATTTAAAAAAATGTGGAAATATACAGTCAGTCAAACTGACAGCCAGGACGGCTTCCTGGTTGTATGCACTTAACGATCGTTAAGGAGGAATTGAGGAGCTTCCAAGGATTAGTCAATGCTTCCCTATGAGAAGCAGTTTATTGGGTGATTAGCGCATCTGACTGGCGCATTCGAGGCACGTGGCAAGCATGTTACAGTTTCAGATAAAGCGGAAGGGAAGACCTTTGTCACTGAGAGTCTCCCGTGGGCGAAGGGGTGCAGGACTCACCACTGGAGAAAAATGTAACATGACTGTTTTGTGTGTGTATGAATTGTGGTTCTACTGATTTATTGTAGTAAACCCTTCTTAAAGTTTAAGGGACATTATAGGCACCCAGACCACTTCAGCTCATTGAAGTGGTCTGGGGGCACTGTCCCAGGTCCCTTAACTTTCAGGGTTAACTCTATCTTTAGTTGTTGTCTACCAGACAGCAGTAGAGAGACTTCCGGGCTCCTAGGCAACTTTTGGTTCAGCTAACTGATACTGAACGTACTCATGCTATGCATGGGCACATCCAGCGCCACCCAAAACTCCACAGGAAAGCATTGTATAATGGAAAAATCATAATGTGATTGCGGCCATTGCACAGCAGTATTGTTTCCCTTTAAACTCGAATATAGTATTTTAATGTTAGAGTGCTTATTTAATATAATTTAGGGATAAGCACAGGAGACACAGGACACCTGGTTTGGAAAGGTCTGATTTAAAACAAGGGACATAATCACTTACTTATTAACTTTACCTGTTATGTATCAGAACTAATAGAAAACACTAGAAAATACACATTTATTTTTTCTCTGTATTTGGTTACAGTATTTGTGGAAAAAATGCTTTTATAACTTTTATATAGTCTCTTCCATAAACCTAAAACATCCCTGTCATTAGCAGCAGAACGGATTTATGCAGCTGACAATCCATCGTCTTTATTTGACAACACTAACTTTCTAGATAGTGCCATACATCGTCCATTTCAATACTTCTCAGAGAGAATGACAGAATTGCAGATCTTACTTATTCAAAAATGGCTAGATCAGTGACAACACATCTCACAATTCATATCCTCCAACCTGCTATATACGACTCCATCCTGACCTCATCTTGCAGTTCCCGGCCATAAACAGAGCACATGCGCAATAAGTACTCTTAGCCTCAGAGGAAGTTTTTAGAGTGATAGTGTCAGGTAGTGTGTGCACACAGCAGTTGCAGCCTTCACAAGTGAGAGGCTTTGAGCACGATGTCACCATGTAACAAGTGGCGATGACAATTGCCCAACTTGCATAAAATAGAAAAAGGGAGCCAGCACTTTTTGTTCTGGAAATGCAAATGGACAGATGCTGGGGAGGAGATACACCTCGAGCAAATGACTGAAATATCCCATTAGTGGCAGCATTTCAAGAAGAAATATTGAACATACATTATCCATGCACCATAACCACTGCATCAAACTGTTGTGTTTATGGCATTTTAGTGTCCCTTTTGAAGGCACCCTGTCTAGGTTATGGTACAAAGTTACTTGGAACAGGCACTCCTCTGGAGGTATCAGTAGCTGTCAGCCACAGCAGTTTCATTGAAGATTTCTCATGAATGGAATTGCTGAAGAGAGCTATACTATACTTTTTTTGAGCAAGATGTTCTGAGTTTACTTTCCTTCATAACAAATAAAGATAATATATGCCACTGCAAATAACTACAATAGCTTCATTCATGTTTATTTCATGAATTAAACTACTTGCGGCATACAATACACAATGTCAGAGAGCCAAAAGCTGAATTTAAACATCCAGTGTTATCAGTGAGCACTGAGTGAATCTATATCTGAGCACTTCCTGGTTTCTATGGAAATCAAAGGGACATAATACATTTTGTAAACCAGCAAGCAAAAACAAATATACAAAATAAAGCCAAAAAACAACATTTAAAATGTATGCAAACTTACTGTAAACTTTGTGATATTATATTACTGGGCAATATCCTCAGATAGGGAAGTTTGTTCTGCCTCCCCCCCACCGCCGCTATTCATCAAGCTCAGTTTCAGATCTGTCCACTAATGACAGAAACAAGGCATCATTATGCAGCAAAAAGAGAGAGAAAGCCAGCACCGGAGCCTGCATGATCACACTGATCAAACTCCCTCTGTCAGCATGTCGCTAGATGAAGAGATCTAGATCTGCCAGGCATGCCCAATGTACTTTTCTAGAATTCCTGGGGATAGGACGCTGATTGGTTAGATCAGCATCCCTCCTGGAGTGGATGTGGGAAGCACAAGAAAGAAGAAGCATGTAGAGAGATGCAACAGTTTCATTCAAAGTTAAAGCTTTTGAATGAGACTGTTGTTTCAAAGTGATGCATGTCCCTTTAAAGCAAAAGCTCTAAATATCGGGAATAATGTATGCAACATAAAAGCTGTCTTTTTGTTTGTTTTTACATTCAATAGCACAATTATGCATTGTTTTAAAGGTACAGCAGGTAGTGTCCCTTTAATATAATATAGCAACCTACGGAATATAAAAAGCACTAAGTTAAAGGGAAACTATAGGTTAGGAAAAAAAATGGTATCCCTCCTCCTACAGTGCAAAACCTGTTCTGTCACTTACTTGAATACAGCACCGATGTCCCTTGGCACTGGGTCAGGCTTTGCCTGCGCTCCTCTGATATCGGGGACTTAATGTGCATGCGTCGCGAGTGCTGCACTCGCATAAGCACTACCCGGAAGGAAAGCATTGAATCAATGCTTTCCTATGGGGTTTTAGCTGATGCTGGATGTCATCATGTAGAGCGTGAGAACGTCCAGCATCAGTTAGGCTATCAAAGGTCACCTAACAACCCGGAAGTGCCTCAACAGTTGGAGTAAATCCTGCAATGTAATTATAAAGTTTATAAATAACTGCAATAATTACACTTGCAGGTTTAAAGGGACATAGGACACTGCACCCAGACCACTTCAATGTGCTTAAGTGGTCTGGGTGCCCATAGTGTCCTTTAAAAATAAAAAATAAAAAAAATACAGTTAGTCACTATACTACACTTTCAAACACCATTTTCAAAAATGTTATTGAATCCGTGTTAATTCTGCAAAAAGAAACACTGACTGTGTATTGATAAATATACTGCTAGTAATCACTAGTGTCATTTTGAAAGATTTTGACCAATGGTTACTTAAAGGACCACTCTAGGCACCCAGACCACTTCAGCTTAATGAAGTGGTCTGGGTGCCAGGTCCTTCTAGGGCAGGGGTTCTCAACCCAGTCCTCAGGACCCCCTACCAGTCCAGGATTAGGGGATTACCTGGGTGTGTCTAAGGTGTTTAGAAAAAGGGAAGAAAAAAAAAACCTTAGACTCTAAGGTGTTTTTTTTTCCTTTTTCTAAACACCTTAGACACACCCAGGTAATCCCTAAACCCTGGACTGGTAGGGGGTCCTTGAGGGCAAGGTTGAGAACCCCTGTTCTAGGGTTAACCCATTCTTTTATAAACAAACTGCTATGCTTATGAATGGGTTAAGCCTTCCCCCAAATCCTCTAGTGGCTGTTTCATTGACAGCCGCTAGAGGCGCTTGCGCGATTCTCACTGTGAAAATCACAGTGAGAGCACGCAAGCGTCCATAGGAAAGCATTGATAATGCTTTCCTATGCGACCGCTGAATGCGCGCACAGCTCTTGCTGCGACTGCGCATTCAGCCGACGGGGAGGAGAGGAGGAGGATGAGAGCTCCCCGCCCAGCGCTGGAAAAAAGGTACGTTTTTAACCCTTTCCCCCTTCCAGAGCCGGACGGGAGGGGGTCCCTGAGGGTCGGGGCACCCTCATGGCACTATAGTGCCAGGAAAACGAGTATGTTTTCCTGGCACTATAGTGTACCTTTAAGGATATAAACCTAAAGTAAACAGATGTAATACTTTGGTAACCACAGTTAAATGCTGATTAAAGTGACAGTCACAATCTTAAAACAGAATGCACTAAAACTAATTTTACACAAAAAACAAATACTGTTCTGAATAAATAAGTTGACTACATATTGTACTGCATTATGTTATCGTACCATTAAAAAAAAAAAAAAAAAAAACTTACCTGCAATATCAAACTATTTCCAACAACAGCCTTTATATCAAATTTCTTCAAACATCATCAATTACAAGATAAAGCCATACTTCAACCAAGCCTGGATTATTAGAACATGTCCTTACCAATTAACTTAAAAAAATAAATAAAACATTTAGTTCATATTCTTGTGTTATATACAGGTTGTAAAAAACGAAAAACACTGCATGGAGTTTGGATAAAGAATTAGTTACTGAGCATACTATGAAAGGGCTCAGTAGTTGTGTTACTAAGTAAACTAATGTGTACGTGTGAAGGTGCCAACTTATTCTTAAAGACAAAAGATTATAATTTCTTGACATGTTCTAATGTAGTAGTTTTTCTATAGATTGTTTTATATGGTTTATCAGTAAAATGGAATCCTAACAAGATAGGCATGTTATTTGGACTTGTAATGTTTTGTACATGAACCTGGGTCTTCCAATTAAAAGCTTACCAGTCTGATTACCTGAACAGGAGACACCACTGGAGGTGAAGAAACAGCAGGTGAGGCAGCAAGCACCATGTGACCATTGGTTTCTGGACATGATGGTTGATGGTCACTCTTGACAGACACGACCATAACACAGTCTGAAGGCTCTACAGACCTTAAGCATAGCCTTTTGGGTGATGGAGGGCTACAAACATCCCCACCTGTATACACAGATTGGGCAGAGTCATAAAGAGGGCGCTTAGGTGTCTCAGTTTTAGGCTCCTGCAACCCCCCAGTTGGTTTGGGTAGAATAAACGTATTGCCAGGAATAACCTGTCTGTGTCTTAACCCATTCATGTTGTCCATGAAGAAAGGAGGCCCTAATTTGGTACCAATGCCAGCTATGCTGTTTAAGGTGGCCACAGATACAGCGCCAATGCAATGATTGGTATAAGTTTTCGACAGCTTGGCCGCTTTCGACAACATCTGCATTCGAGTCCCCAACAAGTTTTTGCCAATGGCTTTATTTTCATACCAAGTCACATCCGACTCGCTGCAATGGTCCCGGGGTCTTTGGAAGAAGGCCTTGCAGAGCGGGTTGCGCTTGGCCAGGTACTTGACAAAACTGGCATAGGGGCAAAATTCTGTGCCAGTTTCGTACATACGGGGCAAGTTCTCCTCGTCGCTCTCAGTGGAAGTGACGCCACCCGGCCCACCGCGCTTTTTGCCCCAAGTCGAAGAGCGAGACTTGTGATAGGGACCCAGGGCCTTGAAGTAGACAAACCTCCTGCCATCCTCATCCATGGCCAGGCCAAAGGAGTCTTCTTCCAGCTCCCTCTGGTTCTCCCTACCCCTGGTGCAGAAGTACATGCAGGTCTCAAACCACACTTTGTTGAGAAGTCCAAAGGGTGAGGAGGCACTGAAGACGCAGGAAGTGTAGAGCTTCCTCAGGTCTGCCCTGGTGATGGCCTGCTTCTGGACCACCGGGCCGGCCCCCTGCTCCTCCAGCTTGCGGATGACCGCGGCCAGGGTGAGGTTGGCGCTGCGCAGCTCGGGGTCCTTGGTGAGGTCCAGGGTGCGGCAGTAAGGGGGCTCGTTCAGGTAGCGGTTGAGGGACGAGCGGATGCTGATGAGGGACGACTTGCTGTAGAGCTGGCCGCTCTTGGAGCGCGCCTCGGCGTAGAAGGAGCGCAGCACCCGGCACAGCGCCTCCTTGTCCATGCTCTCGAAGTCGGGGCTCTGCGCCTTCTCGCTCAGGTACTCGCGGAAGATGCGCACGGCGTAGCGGGTGGCCAGGCGGGTGTTCTCGCTCAGCCGGGCTCGCTCGGGCCGCTCGCCTTCTCTCCCCCCGCCGTCGCCCCCGACTGCCCCCAGCTGCAGCAGGAGCGGGTCCACGTCCTCCACCGCCACCATGCCGGAGCGCAGGCCGGGCACCAGGGCAGGGCGCTGGGCACCGGGGCGAGGGTAGTGCCCCATGGCAGCCTCCCCCAGCCGGGGGTACGGGGTGCCCAGCAGCGAGCCCTCCTCGGGGTCCCAGTCCAGCTGCATGTCGTCCTCCTCCAGCTCATCGTCCTCCTCCTCCTCCTCCTCCAGCAGCAGCAGATCGTCCTCTTCTTCATCCCCGGTGATCTGCACCTCCCGGATCTCATCCTCATCATCCTCCTCATCTTCCTCCTCCTCCTCCTCCTCTTCTTCCCCGGCGCTGCCCGGCTGCAGGCGGTGCTGGGCGGCCCGGGACTGGGCGTGCAGGGGGTCGGTGTCCGCCGTGCCCGGGTTGCAGTCCCCGCTGCCTGGCATCCTCGCCATGTTGCCTTCCTTTCTATTCCGCTCTGTGTGTGTATGGCAGAGAGTGCCGCCTCGCTCCGTGTCTGCCAGGGCCCGGGCGCATGCGCTATATTGGACCGCGACTGGCTGGGTGTAATGACCTTCACAGACCGGGGGGAGGGGCGGGGACGGCAGAGCTCAGCCAGTGCCCGGGGGGAGGAGGCGGCGACGGGGGGCATTGTGTGCCTGGGCTCAGCGTGGAGGGGAATGGACACCAGGCTGTATTTTATATGGCTGGGAGGGAGGAGATAGGGTAATACAGTGTATAATGTGACCACACTGCTCCTTTAATACATTACAGCAGCTATATATAATGTGACCATACAGCCCCTTTAATATTGTACAGCATCTATATATAATGTGACCATACTGCCCCTTTAATACTTTACAGCATCTATATATAATGTGACCATACTGCCCCTTTAATATTTTACAGCAGCTATATATAATGTGACCATACTGCCCCTTTAATACTTTACAGCATCTATATATAATGTGACCACACTGCCCCTTTAATACATTACAGCATCTATATATAATGTGACCACACTGCCCCTTTAATACATTACAGCATCTATATAAAATGTGACCATACAGCCCCTTTAATACATTACAGCAGCTATATAAAATGTGACCACACTGCCCCTTTAATATTGTACAGCATCTATATAAAATGTGACCACACTGCCCCTTTAATACATTACAGTATCTATATATAATGTGACCACACTGCCCCTTTAATACATTACAGCATCTATATATAATGTGACCATACAGCCCCTTTAATACATTACAGCAGCTATATAAAATGTGACCACACTGCCCCTTTAATATTGTACAGCATCTATATATAATGTGACCATACTGCCCCTTTAATATTGTACAGCAGCTATATATAATGTGACCATACTGCCCCTTTAATACTTTACAGCATCTATATATAATGTGACCACACTGCCCCTTTAATACATTACAGCATCTATATATAATGTGACCACACTGCCCCTTTAATACATTACAGCATCTATATATAATGTGACCATACTGCCCCTTTAATACTTTACAGCATCTATATATAATGTGACCATATTGCCCCTTTAATATTGTACAGCAGCTTTATATAATGTGACCACACTGCCCCTTTAATACTTTACAACATCTATATATAATGTGACCATACAGCCCCTTTAATACTTTACAGCATCTATATAAAATGTGACCACACTGCCCCTTTAATACATTACAGCATCTATATATAATGTGACCATACTGCCACTTTACACCATGTGTATTTATAATGTGCCCATACAGCCACTCTAATACTTTACAGCATCTATATAAAATGTGACCAAACTGCCACTTTAATACTTTACAGAATCTATATATAAATGTGACCACACTGCCCCTTTAATACTTTACAGCATCTATATAAAATGTGACCACACTGCCCCTTTTATACTTTGCAGCATCTATATAAAATGTGACCACACTGCCCCTTTAATACTTTGCAGCATCTATATAAAATGTGAAACACTGCCCCTTTAATACATTACAGCATCTATATAAACTGTGACCATATTGCCACTTTACACCATGTGTATTTATAATGTGACCACACTGCCTCTTTAATACTTTACAGCATCTATATAAAATGTGACCATACTGCCCCTTTAATACTTTGCAGCATCTATATAAAATGTGACCACACTGCCCCTTTAATACTTTGCAGCATCTATATAAAATGTGACCACACCGCCCCTTTAATACTTTGCAGCATCTATATAAAATGTGACCATACTGCCACTTTAATACTTTGCAGCATCTATATAAAATGTGACCACACTGCCCCTTTAATACTTTACAGCATCTATGTAACACGTGACAACACTGCCCCTTTAATACTTTATACCATGTATATACAGTGACCGTACAGCTCCTTTAATACTTTTCAGTGTTTTATATATATATATATATATATATATATACACACACACACACACACACACACACACACACACACACACACACACACACACTGCCCATTTAATACTGTACACTATGCATATATAATGTGACCATACTGCTCCTTTAATACTTTACAGCATGTATACAAGATGACCATATTGCCCCTCTAATACTTTACCGCATCTATATAAAATGTGACCATACTTGTGCTTAAATAATGTGCAGTTTAGTTCTGTGACCATACTGCTCCTAATACTGTATAGAGAGTGACTGTACTGTTCCTAATACTGTGCACTTTCTATATTATATGACCATATTGCACTTTTAATAGTATATTGATTATTTATGTAGGGTGGGCATACGGACTCCTTAATAGCGTGTAGCAAGTATATAGGGTTAGCATACAGCTCCTGTAATAGTATACATCATGTATGTAGAATGACCACACTACTCCTTTAACAGGGTAATCATACTACACTAATGTACAGTCATCAGCCACAACTTTAAAGCACCTGGCTAATAATATGTAGGTCACCCTCATGCTTCCAAAACAGTTCTGATGTGTGAGACATGGACCTCACAAGACCTCTGAATGTGCTCTGTGGTATCTGGCACCAAGACATTAGCAGCAGATCCTTTAAGTCCTGTAAGTTGTAAGACCTGCTTGGATCAAATTTGTTGTTCCAGCACACCCCACAGATGCTCAATTAGAGGAGAGCTGGGGGATTTGGAGACCAAGACCTATGGTTTTAACAATCTCAGCTACAGTAGCTCTTCTGTGATTGGACGAGATGGGCAAGTCTTCGCTCCCCATGTGCATCAATGAGCCTTGGGTGCCCATGACCCTGACACCGGTTCACCAGTTGTCCTTCCTTGCACCACTTTTGGTAGGTACTAACCAATGCATACCGGGAACACCCCACATGACTTGCAGTTTTGGAGAGGTTCTGAGCCAGTCATCTAACGATCACTATTTGGCCCTTATAAAAGGCACACAGTTCTTTCCACTTGCCCATTTTACCTGCTTCCAAAACATGATATTCAAGAACTGACTGTTTTTTTGCTGCCCAATTTAACCCACTCCTGGACAGGCGCCAGTGTAATGATTTAATCAATGTTATTCACTTCAACTGTCAGTGGTTTTAATGTTGTGGCTGATCAATGTAGGGTGCAAAGTTGTGGCGGAACTACAGCCCGTGCGGCTACAATGGGGCCCGCCAGCTCAGGGTGCCCATCTGGTGGCACATGCACTTAGTTTAGCAGCACCACCGGGCCCCCTGGTCTGTGAGAAGTCATGGTGCTGGGAGGAAGTGAATACAAGTCACCTCCTTCCCGGAAGTGAATACAAGTCACTACCTGTGCAGGAGAGCGATAGAGCGGAGGATCAGAGAGGAGGGAGTCTGACAGTCAGTACCAGAGGAGGGAAAGCCTAGCCCAGACTCCCATCACACTCAGCCAAATGACACTGAACCCCAGGGAAGCCACCCTCCTGCACCAAAAAGATATGGAAGCAGGGGGGTGGCTAAAAATATATAATGTGATCTGTAACGTCTGTGAATGTGTTGTGTGTATGTCTTAACAGTGTATGTATCTGTGCATCTGTATGAGTATCATTTTATGTATCTGTGCCCCTCGGTACGTGTGTGTCTGTGCATCTGCATGGGTCTCATTGTGTAAGTCTTTGTATCTGCATGTGTGTCAGTTTGTGTGTCTGTATGTGTATGTGTATTAGTATGCATGTATATCAGTGTGTCTGTGGATCTGCAAGTGTGTCAGTGTGTGTGTGTATCTGTGTGTCTGGATGTGCCAGTGTGAGTTTGTATATGTGTATCAGTGTGTATGTGGTAGTGTATATGTGTATATCTCTCAGCGTTCAAACTCCAACACTACGCACAAATACACCCTGTATTCAAACACTACACACATCCCTACATTCAGTGTCAAAAACTACACACAAGTAAACCACTGCTTTCAAATGACAAAGGTTCATAAAAGCACACAACACACTACATGCAAAAACATGCTTACATTCAAACATACAAACTCTGCTCAGTGCTAAATATAACCCTGCAAGGATCATTAAATTATAGATCCCCAGCTGGCAAAGCATTGTGAGAGTTGTATGACAGACGGGAAGCTACCTTATTTTCCCATCCTTGCAATAGGGGGGCCCCAAAAAAATTCTTGCACCACTCTACTTTAGTTCACCACTGGTGCAAAGCACATATACAGTGTGGCCTGCTTCCAAGTGATGCCATTTGTAACAGATCACCTGGCACCCCGACTGGGTACCTCCGTTGATGGATGCTCCTAGCGCTTCTTGAGGATTCCAAGCACTCTAGCCGACACCACAACCACCGCAGGTCGAACCTCTCTTCCTTCAGAGCGAAGCAGGAACGAGCTCTTAAAAGAGCTTAGGAGTGATTATAGCAAGGGAATATGCAGAACATAGCAATCCCTTGTAGCAGATTCCCCCAGTAAGAGTCAGGACTCCAAATTGAGGGTGAAGTAGAACTGTCTGTACTGGAACATACAGCCTCTTTTATTCACATTCTACAAACATAGTACTGCCCACAGGGTTTTGAAGAACAACCAATCAACACATTACAACACAGCTAACACTCCCATTCATTGCATCAGAAATCCTCCCCTCTGCCTGTGATACAATTATCTCAACACAACAGACTAACTTAATTATCACAGGTATGAAAATACAGTATTATAAAACATATCACAGGGACCCCAAAACATACAATAACCCCATAAAAAGTAGTTTGGAAGATACGGTTTAATGCAGATTCCGCAGAACATATACAGGCTATATGAAAAGTAATTACTGTTAAATGTGTCCCCTGTTCTGTAGTTTAAAACTACTGAACGATGTCTTTGTGCACCAAATACTGGAGAGATGGCACCGTGTAGAAAAGTCAAAACAGTGTCTGTGAGTTAAAATGGCCGCCATCCATTGTTCTCACCATGTGCCTCTGATACATGAAATGGTGGCCACCCAGTAACTCCACAGTATGTCCCCAGGTGGCTCTCAAAGGGCCAGCAGCAGCATAATAAAATACAGTATGCCCAAATCAGTTCCTTAAAGGGCAATACATCCCAGGGCAGGAGGCTGGCAAACATGCCCCTCCAAAAACCAGTGGCGAGGTCACTTTCGCCACACCATACATAGGCCAACAATGATTTTAATTTAGCCCCATAAAAGTTCCCT